GCCCCCTCGCTGTATATTTTTTCATATACAAAACTTCAAAGCTTCCCTCCATTTATTTCTGCAGTAGTCTTATGCACTGCAACCCGTTTAATCGGGGTCCGGGGGCCCAGTAGTAGTGTGGAATTGAAAGTTCATTTGCCGGTTGGATTTAGAGGAGCGCTTGCCCCCCCGTAGGCTGGCCCTAGTATGATTAGTATGCTGCCGCTAATTAGTTAAAAAAGTAGAATGTTAAAATACTTAGTTATAGTATAAAATATATTTTTTTTCCCCCCCCCCCCCCCTCTTTCTCAATTCATTTTTCGTGCTTCTTCTTACTTAGTTCATTCTTGTTATATGTATTCAGTGGTGGTAGAACAATTGCTAATACACTAGCATTAACTAGCAATTAATTCAAGTTCTTGTAGAATTGTATCTCATCTCTTACAACTGGCTCAAATATTTTACCCCCACTGAAACCGGCATGCGCCTTTGAACCATTCCACAATGTTCACTGAAGCACTGCGTCTAGGGCACTTTTTTTCTTTTCTTTTCCTTTTTTTTTCTTTTGTTAGCATCCCTATCCCTTGCTGGAAGGCCGCGTGACCCACACCTATTTAACCTTTCCAAGGAAACAGTGCTGACCCCGTTAGATAGGAGTTACAATGAAGCAACCTTCCACCTGCATCATTTTGCTATTAAGCTCATATACTAGTATCCATGACAATATCTTCTGGTGGAGTTACCCATAGTTCCATGGGATGGCTCTCTGCGACCCTGGTGTGGTTCAATCCTTTTGGCAAAGCTCCGAACCTCGTTCACCTATGCAGTAAACACCGACTGTGCAGTTGCACTAGGCCAAAAGGATTGGCGACCCCCACCACCGGTGCGCCTCCAAAAGGTAAAATGCTTTGGTGGGGGTTGCCCAACATGAATATCTACAGCATGGCATGTATTTGCAAAGACACCAGCAACCAATTGGCCAATGGCTTGGGGAAAAACCCCAACGCTTAGCGAGCACAGAGCGCCTCGAGCACAGTTGGTGGTGATCAGGCCACAACTCGGCGGCAGTCCCCGCCCTTTCCTTTCCTTTCCCACCCGAAACGGGGCTTGGCGCTGCCGTTAGCGGGTCCCATCAGATAAGATGGCGCCAAATCATCTTATCTGATGCCATGTGCGCAATTTATCTGATGGGCGGGAACGTTCCTACTGGCTTCCACCCCTGCTAGGCCGGCCCCTAGCCAACCTTGTGGCAGCCGCTTTTCCTTCTTCCAGCCTAGTGGGGATTTTGGTCGTATTGGATTCTGTGATAGGCGATGTCTGTTTTTTTTTTTTTTTTTTTCCCTGCCTTTCTCCCTGGGGTCCCTGCTCTGTTTCTGCTTTAAAAGCGGAGCTTACTACCCAGGTGCTGGAGGAGCAATGCTCTCCCACATTTGTCAAACGCAACCTGCGCTCTATTTTTCGTCTTCTAGTTTTGCTCCTCGTCGTTGAGCAGCTACAGCCATCATGGTGACCCTCTCCAATGTAGGCGCGGACGTGGAGAAGAACATCGTTCCTGAAGTAAATGACGCCTCCAAACGCGACTCGGACAATGCTTCTGCGGACTTCCAGCCGGGTGTTAAGCGTGTTCGCGCTGTCGCCTCTGTTTGGTCAAAGAAGACCCTGTGGCTCACGTTTGCACTGTAAATTCTCCTATGCTTTCGAGCACCCTACGCTTGCGACACAGATGCTGACTGACTGCCCCCATCCAATCACTAGGCTCTATTTGGTGGCCTTTGTCGACATGCTCTTGGTCTCCGTTCAATCCACGCTCAACCCGTTCATCACCTCTTCGTTTGAAAAACACGGACTCCTGGCCAGCGTCAGCATCGTCGCCACGATTCTCAGCGGCTGTTCAACTCTCACGCTGGCCAAGATCGTCGACGTCTGGGGCCGCATCGAGGGCTTCCTCTTCATGCTTCTCGTAGTCATTGTCTCCTTGATCATGAAGGCGACTTGCAAGAACATGGAGGCGTATGTGGCTGCCCACACCCTGTACTGGACCGGCCATATCGGCATGATCTACTGTGTCGACGTCATGCTGGCCGATATGACGACCCTGAGAAACCGGATGATTATGTTCAGCATCAACAATACTCCGACCATCGCGAGTACCTTTGCCGGTCCCAAGATTGCCGACCTGTTTTTTACCAACCTGAACTTCCGGTGGGCTTTTGGGGCCTTTGCCATCATGCAAGTTGGAGTCAGCCTTCCGGTCATCGTTATCATGCTGTTCATGGAACGCAAATCCGTAAACGCGGGTTTCCTTACCAAGGAGAAGTCCGGTCGCTCAGTGTTGGAGTCGATCAAATATCATCTCATAGAGTTTGACGGTATATATATATACATATATTTTCTTTTCAAATCTATCCACTATGCCCCCACAAGCTATTTAAATTAAATCTAACTGGAGCATTATTTTTTAGTCGTGGGAATTGTCCTCATCACGGCTTCGTTTGCCTTGATTCTCCTCCCGTTTAGCATTGTGGTCTATGCCCCTAAAGGCTGGGCGAGTGGATATATCATTGCCATGGAGGTCATTGGCGTTGTGTGCGGGGCGATATTCCTCGCATGGGAGAGATTCCTTGCTCCCGTGCAATTTCTTCCGTTCAAGTATCTCAAAAACCCTACCATCATTGGCTCCTGTCTGCTATACGGAGTTATGTTTGCCTCGGCATTGTAAGTACTAGTCCACCGACAGCTGGGAAGAGAAATAGATGTTCACAGGCCATTTCATTGAATGCTAACGTTCGCTTCAGTTGTTGGAACGCATACTTCTACTCTTACCTTATTGTGGTGTACAGGCTGACCATCACTACTGCTGGCTACGTCCTCAACTCGTTCTCACTCTCGTCTGCCATCTTAGCGCCCGGGATTGGCTTGTAAGTGATTTCCTAGAATCCGGAATACCCTGGCTTACCTCCCTCAGGAAGACACTAACCGCTTCCCTCCCCTCCCCAACTACAGCTTGATTAGGTATACCGGAAACTTCAAATGGGCCGCTTACGCCGGTATCCCATTTATGCTTCTCGGAACGGCCCTCCTAATTCCCTTCCGCCAGCCTAACACTTCCATTGGCGCCGTCACCATCACCCAAGTCCTCGTCGGCATTGGCACCAGCTTCTTCTCCGTCTGCGGCCAGCTCGCCGTCATGTCCGTCGTCAGCCACCAAGAAGTCGCCGTCGTGCTCGCAATCTGGGGCATGTTTGGCTCCATCGGCGCTTCTGTCGGCCTCGCTATTGCAGGCGCGATGTGGAACAACATCCTTCCCTCCCAGCTCTACCGACGGCTCCCCGAGCAAAGCAAGGACATGGCCGCCCAGATTTTCGGAGACATGCAGCTGCAGATGTCCTACCTCGATGGCACGCCCGAACGGGACGCCATCGTCGGGGCGTACGCTGACGTTCAGCGAAAAATGGTTATTGCTGGTGTCTGCATGATGCCGCTTGTCATGGCTTCCATTGTCATCTGGAGGAATGTCAATATCAAGAAACAGGAGGAAGAGGAGGGCTCGCAGACAACAGGCAATATCTTTTAAACTATATACTATCTTTCTTGCCTTGGAGGCATTCACTTGGCACCTTTCGGAGCCCATTGAGCCACACAGCATGATATATATATAATTTCTCTCCCTTTATGGGTTTGGAAAATACCCAAAAGTAATACAATCGGTTCTTCGAAGGTTACTTACTATTCCTTAAGGAGGTGTGGTAGAAATACACAGGGTAGATGTGTTACATACAGTTGACAAACCCCTTGAAAAAGATCCGGGGCTAGTTTAGGGGCCTAAAGGATGAGCTACCAAGTTAGGTGTCGAGCTTGTAAGTTGACATCAATGAAGCTCCGGAAAACCTAGTTTCAGGAACAAATGTCCCCGAGACCGTGGCTAGGCGACGAACGATCCGACCCTCAGGTCAGACAGGGTATCTTAAGGTTTTTTTGTCCTCTTGCTCTGATTTGATAGTCCTAGTAACCTCGCGTCGTTTAATCCTGGGCAATCCCGACACCCTGACAGGGCGCTAGGCATTCCTTGTTGTAACTGTACCTTTGGCACGAAAAAATAATCGATATCCAACCCGGTAAGGCGAGAAAGTTTCGTTTCGTCCTGTGTGGTTAGTACTAGTGCTACTACTAGACGTCATTGATGAAAATTTTAGGTTCGGTGAAACGATATTCCGTGAGTAATCTTCGAACTCTCGCCCTTTTGTGCCAAATACTAGTATCACTTGTGGGGGGTCAGCTTATATTGCTGAGTGGGTAGGATCAAAGATAACTGGCTTGAGGATCATCATCGCAGTGTGCAGCTCAGAATCGATATTGGTATCATGTCCCACCCACCTATGAAGCTCTTATCTACCAGTAGCATCCTTCCTGCTGCTTGCATTTGCTGACTGTTGTGCCACGGACAGATCGATACCGGCAGAAAACCGTTTCAAAACCAATGATGATAATCCTTGACAGGCTGTATAAAACAAGATCGAGTGTTTTTTTCTTTTTTCAAATTAAAAAACCCTTTCTTTACTCGGATAGCATGAGAAGCAGCATTATGCATGGTTCCACCTTTCAAGCCTTGTCGATTCTGAGGTTGAGAAGTCGGAGGACGGGGCCTTGGGCTGAAGGCCCATGATTAAATAAATACTATTCCTACGCATACGGTTGTTGTTTGTGTTCTTTCCTTTCAAATTATTTATCTCTGGCAAACCTATTTGGGGAAGGAAGGGATGGTGGTCAAACCATCCGTTTCTCAGGCAGGAACAACCTACACCCGCCGTCTTGTTCCTTCTTTGAATCAGGAAGCCCATATCATTGCGGCAGATCATGAAATCGATGGCGAAGCAGTTACACATCTCCTCGCATTTGACCATCTTCATATCAGCTGGATTAACTGAGCTGGTGATCCTTTTTTTTCTTTCCTTTTTATTTTTTTATGGTGATGGTGATACCTCTAAGAAACAGGAAATGTAGTAATTATTCAGGAACGGTTACGTGGGCGCAAATCATACAGAAATTTGAAGATATGAACCTTACTGGATGATAGGTACATGAAATTTGGGCCGCGGAGAGGGAGGGAGGGAGGGAGTGGGAACGAGCTTGATATCGGAAATTTACATCTAGGAAATTGAGGTGAGTGGAAAACCGAACTTGCCGGTTCACTGGAGCTGTGTTCTGGCTTCAAAATTGAAACTACCCGCATTGAGAGAGCTTGAAGGGGAGAGGGAAGGCAGAAAAAGGATGCGACGGGATGGAAGGGAGGGGGATAAATAAGGTATTTTAATTTGATATTTAATCATGGCCCATGCCCTTTCGCACGACTAGTCTAACTGATCAAATGAGACCAGATCACATAAAATCTTATGCGGGATTCAGGGTCCCATCAGCCAGTCTGATTACGAGTATGGTATGAAGTTTATCGGGCGAGCGTGCTTGAATCAAAACTGAACAGCTCTTTTATAAATAAAATGGCTAACAAATATAGGGACAACTATATCCGTTGTGATCCCAGACATGGTCACACGGGCAGTCACTCACCTTACTTCAGTAGTAAGATGTCATGTGCTGGGAAATACGTGATAAGTAAGTGTATTGGGTGCTCGGCACAGGCGGACCAACATTATAGAATCATATAAATAGCGATGATCCCAATACTGTAATTAATTACACTCAAACATACGATGTAGAACGATGAAAGGAAAAGAAGGTTCAACGTTGAGCCCTGAATCTCCCCCGAGCTCTATATTTAGATTACATACATAAGAGGACAGACAGCTGAGTTAAACACGTTTGACTTTGTATAAAAAAGCCAATAAAACAAACAAATTGTAACATCTCTGGTGGATTCGGCGGAACTTTTCATCTAGCCTACTGGTCGAGAGCATGGTTATCGTTCGGCTGTCTTGTATCTTCTTCAAGAATTGACTTAGGTTCTGTTATTGTAACCATTCTTTAAATTCGCCACGATCAACTTGTTTCGTTTCCTAGATAGTTATTTGAGTTTCAATTTCCATACATATCTCCCACATCGCGAAAATTTTCCATGATTGGAGCAAGGCCTGAGCGCGCTTAGACTATTAGTACCAGTACTAGCTGCTAGTGCTATTGGCAGGAGTGTTTCGTCTCGCTCTTCAATGCACACGCCGCCAGCGATTCCGTTTGACTTTCTACCTGTCGAAATCCAACTCTCCTTCCCGGCTCTGCTCTGCCATTCCCAGCTTGGGTGATTGGATGAGCGATTCTTCAGCCATTGCAACATCTTCGGCCAACCTTCTGAAGCACTCCTACGCAGGAGCACCTGAGTCCATACTACTCCGTATATACTATTCCTTTGAAGTCCCGCAAGTGCGATGCAACGGGGTGCGTTACGGCTGTGGCAGTGCTTGGGTTCCCGGCCAGTCACAAGCTGCAACGAGCAGGTGTGGAGTCGTTGAGCCACACCATTACATAACATCCATGCGGCCGGACAGCCGCAATCACATGAGATTGATCAGCTCTATTGCTCACCTTTTCGTCGTCTTCTGTGACTCTTCTTCTTCTTATTCCTCTCGTTCGCTGTGTTTTCTGCTCTCTATCCTCGACCCTCTGTGAGGTAAGACTATCCAGGAATACTGACTCCTGAAAAGGACCTTTGTCGGCCGTTCATTTGTTTGTGCCAACGATCCTGCCCCCCGCCATCGTCAACGGCCAACCAACCAACCAGCGCTCATCCTAACGCCCGGTTAAACTCTGCTGCCTTAAGCCACATTCGGTGTCCTCGCTCCCCGCCATCCTCTTGAACTCCTCGTCTGGGTTTTGCCTCGCGGATGAAAATCAAGAGCAAATCCGTCAAAGGACTGAGCAGGGAAATAAACGAAAAAAAAGAAAAAGAAAAAAGAACGGAGCTTGCTACGAAAACCAACGATTCCTAGATTCGCTACTAGTTTGCCTCCCCCTCTCGCCCCAATCGAGCCTCCAAGCGACCACTCACCAGTCTGCACGGCAAACGCGGGCCCGTGGAGCCAGCCTAGTTTGATCCCTGGTAGAAAATTCTTTACCGTGTCCACTTCATCGCGTCTCAGATTCGAATCTCTTGAAATACTTTATTTCTATAAATAATATCCCTACATCTATAACTATCTTTATCTATATTTATAATATACCCATTGATACAACCCGCTTACAGCCTCTGTCTGGTACTTTCAATTCTGCTCCAGCGTCACTCATTCTACCTGCTCCCCTCTAGGATCCTACTTCATGCCCCGACGATAGTTGTCGACGTTGACTGGCCTGGAGGTTGTGGAGGTCGCATAGAGCAATCCTTTAGAAGAGACAGCAAGAGAGGAAGAGAGGAAGAGAGAGAGAAAGCGAGAGAGAAACAGAGAAAGAGGGAGAGAGGGAAAGAAAGAGAGAAAAATAGAAAGAAAGAGAGCGCCAGTTGACGTTTTTGTTAATCGGATTACAAGATACAACACGATCAAAACCAAAAGCGAGCTATCCAACCTTTCGTAACAGAACGAGCACCCTCCGCAATATGGACGGCCATGACCTCCAGGATGCTGCGGGCAATGATCTCCGGAAACCCCACCAAAAATCTCCCTTAATTTCGCCCATTCCGTCAGCCGATGCTCAACCTCCAACCCTACGTCGTGTCGGTGACAGCCCCTCTATAATGAGCCCTTCCTCCACACCTCTTGGCCTTATCAATGCCGCCCGGAAGCCACCTACTGTTCCTCCTACCTCTACCACACGGTCCAGCGGCTTGAATCAGGATATCCAGGCCAAAATGAAGGCCTTTTCACTTTCCAGACAAGGTGCTCGTCCAGGACTGAGCCCGCAATCATCTTCAACCGCCAATCCTGGTACCGGAAACCCTACAGTGACTTCTGCGGCCCAGGGCGGCCCGTTTGTCGGTGGTATTCCTCCCACCGGTGGCCGAGGCACTCCTCAGGTAGTTGGTGGCCCTATTCCACCGGGAATCGGCAGATTACCGTCACAGACATCCCCTGGATGGACGCCGCATCCACCTAGTCCAAATCCAAATAGCCCAATACAACCAAAGATGGGTGGTTTGGCTGCGAAAAGAGGATTAACCCGTGGAATGAAGTTATCCGATGCTTCGGGCCCTCGAATGGACAAACCCACGCCGGCGAAACCGGGAAGTCTCCCCGGTGCGAACGATGCCTCGCGGTGCGCCGGAGGAGCCCCAGAGACGCAGTTCAGCAGGTACTCAGAGTTTGTGGATACGAAAACGGGTACTCTGAATTTTAGGAACAAGGCGATTATACATAGCGGTGGCATAGACTTTACCTCGGGAAGCAGTTTCAACATATCTCTAGACGAGGTCGATACGCTTGATGAACTGGGAAAAGGGAACTACGGCACCGTCTATAAGGTTCGCCACTGTCGTCCGCATCTGCGAAGACCTGGCGTGGGACTGCGGGGTACCGTATCCAGGCAAACCGTGGCCCAATCCACTTCTACACCAGCCTCTAGCAGTCCCAATTCTAAGAATACCTCCAACGTTATCATGGCCATGAAGGAGATCCGCCTCGAATTGGATGAGGCAAAATTTACCGCTATTATAATGGAGCTTGACATCCTTCACCGCTGTGTATCGCCGTTTATCATTGATTTCTACGGTGCTTTTTTTCAGGAAGGTGCAGTGTACATTTGTGTGGAATACATGGATGGTGGGTCTGTGGAGAAAGTGTACGGCGATGGGATCCCCGAGAATATACTCCGGAAAATCACCCTGTCTACTATCATGGGCTTGAAGTCATTGAAAGATGAACACAATATCATCCACCGAGATGTCAAGCCGACTAACATTTTGAAGCTCCAATGTGGTGGAATTCATTTGTGACTTTGGTGTTAGTGGGAACCTGGTGGCGAGTATCGCGAAGACAAACATCGGCTGCCAGAGTTATATGGCTCCCGAACGGATTGCAGGAGGTGGCGGCACCGCAGGCGGTGGAACCTACAGTGTGCAGAGTGATATATGGAGTTTGGGCCTGACCGTGGTTGAATGTGCTATGGGCCGCTATCCATATCCCCCTGAAACATTCAATAACATATTCAGCCAGTTGAACGTAAGTACCGTAAACGAAGCTGTCCCAAATCATCAACCACAAAATAGCGTTTATTTTATTTTATTTTTCCCCTCTTTTTGATGCCAACTTTTGAGAACAGGCCATCGTCCACGGCGACCCTCCCAAGCTCCCTGAACACGGCTACTCGCCTGAAGCCAAAGATTTCGTCCAGAGATGTCTGAACAAAGACGCGTCCCACCGACCCACATACTCCATGCTCCTTCGCGACCCTTGGCTATCCTGCCTCATGAAGCCGCCTGAGGACAATCCGCCAACCAAGGACGAGGAAGAATACAAGGCAGGCATCGACAACGACAACGACAACGACAATGTCGACGATAAAGACGCAACTACCAACAACAAAAAGCCACCGCCGTCTTCTCTTATTGAAACAGCCGATGAGGAAGTCGCCACATGGGTTTTGGACGCGCTGGACCGTCGTGCAAGAGGCGTCATGGGAAATCAGCACCGGCCGGCGTTGCATGCTGTGGCGCTTGATGCTGTGCCGGGGACCCCGATGTTGGACGGCCCGTCATCGTTGCCATCGAAATGAGGAGTGGAGAGGAAAGGGGATGGATGATTTGTGGGGATTGGTGGGGATTGGAATACACGATTTTGTGGTGGGAGCCAATTAAGGGTTCCTAAAAGAGTTTTGGATGTATGGGAGTGGAAATGGGAATTGTGGATGTGAGTAAAAAGAGATGGATTGACGGTATATACATTTTCCCGCGGCGAGAGAAGGGGGACGGATGAGGGTTACGGTCTATTGCGCAGGAGTAGAGGAAGCCCAGAACAAACAAATGGAGAGGTGGGCAGGCGGACAAATCGTACTGATCAGTCGAGCTGAGGAGACGAAAATATGGAACGAAACGAGATTCAAGAATGAAATTGAAACTGCGCTGGCGCGGGATGGGTGGTGGATTTCCTTTTTTTATTGTCTCCTCCTCTCTCTTTTTCTCTTCCTCCCTCCCCCTCTCGTCCTCCCTCTCTCGTCTGTAGTTTTGTCTTGTGAGTGGATTAAGGTAGGAAGTTTAGGTTATACCGTTCTTCTCTTTTTATTTCATATGTTTCCCCTTTCATCTTTAGCCAAAGGTGGTGGATTTTTTGCTCTACTTTTTTCTTTTTTCTTGTTTCCCCCACTGTCCAAAAGGGGTTACTTGTTCCCGTTACCTCTCATTGTCGTTCTCATCAAGGACACCCTTGTTTGGCATCCCAATGGTTCATATATATAATCTGTCCTATATTTTCCTTCCCCAAGCAACATACATACACACATCTAGATATACGCCTGTGTGTATCCATCATATATACGTATATTATATCTAATTTTCTACTCTCTAATATTTCTTCGTTCGACTTCTTCCTCTTCTTCTACCAACACCTTCTCTTCTGATGGGTGGATATGTGTCAGTATTGACTCTTTATTTCATTATCGCCTCTGCGCTTTTCATTTTCCATTCACCTCTGGGCAGTTCGTCCTGACTAATATCTCTGCGTGGGAGTTGTATTCTATTCATGGCTGCATGTGTTTCCATATGCATAGTTCGTTTGTGAACGCGCTGAGAGGACTTGATAAATTGGGTTGCATGCGGGAGTGATTGGTGGAGGTGCAATGGGCTACTTTTTTCTAGAAGGATATAATATATATATATATGTATGTATATATTAAGTTATAGTATAATATAATGTAATATAATATAAATCCACTCTTCCCAATAGCAATATTATTTTCTATACTTTACTATTCTGGAGGTCGAAGGAAGTATATACTTGTCAGACTTGGCGCATTTGTCATCGACTTGCGCCGAGGCTGAGGGCTGACTAAGGACCGGATTAGTAATCGATCGGCTCCATGAGTTCGTTTTCATCTTGAAATAATTGGATAATTGATAACTAATTGCGCAGGATTGGGGAGCGAGAAGAAGCGAGTAGCAAGGAGACTAGGCTCACTAGAGAATTGACTGGTTGACACATTCCTTGATTGGGCAATTGACTGGGAACTTTGCAATTCTTTACCGCTTGACTTTATACATCCCCACCCGTGTCGCCAACCAGGTTGCATCCCGCCTTTTTGTCCCTCCGTTTGCATTTCCGTTGTTATATATAGTTTATATACTAGGGAATGCCCCTCCTACGCCCCTCTCTCTGCTCTTGTTCCTTTTCCTCTTCTTCTTATCCTTCTTGTGTTGCTTCCACTTTTATACGACCCAAGTTCGGATATCCCAGAATCCCTACAAACTCAAAAACAAAACCATATCACACCCTCCGCTGGCACCCCACCACACGCTTGAAGCTGGCCTCTACTACCAACACCACGCACACAAATACCCCATCCCATTTGCGCCTGCATTCTCTCGCGCGGCAATTCTCCTCCTCATCCGCCTCTTCCGATTCCGTCGCGCCCGCCGATAAACCCTCATCTGCAACTATGGCACCCACAGAAGTGCACGAGTACGATTACATAGTTATTGGCGGCGGCAGCGGCGGCAGCGGCGCTGCTAGGAGAGCGTCGGGTTGGTATAAAGCAAAGACACTTATTATTGAGAATGGGAGGTCTGGCGGGTGCTGTGTGAATGTCGGGTACGTTATCAATATCAACATCTGGATGCCTTGTGCTCGTGAGAATGAAGTTTTTAGTTCGGGCTATAATAACTATATATATATACAACGTACCAATGCAGCTGCGTACCCAAAAAGATGACCTGGAACTTTTCCTCCATTGCCGAAACCCTGCGCGACGGCGTGCATTACGGCTATGACATCCCCCAGAACATCCCCTTCGACTTCTCCGTCTTCAAACGCAAGCGCGACGCCGTCATCGAGCGCCTCAACGGCGTGTACGAGCGCAACTGGAACCGCGAGGGAATCGACCTCGTTCATGGCACCGCCCGCTTCCTTAGCAAGAAGGAGATCGAAGTTGAGTTGCAGGACGGCAACGGGAAAAAAGTCCGGTACACGGCCCCGAAGATTTTGATTGCTACCGGTGGTTACCCGCTTATCCCCGACGACACCTCCGGTGCGCACCACGGTATCACTAGTGACGGGTTTTTCGACATCGAGGTCCTCCCACCCAAGATCGCGGTGGTTGGTGCGGGATATATCGCTGTCGAGCTGGCAGGTGTGATGCAGTCCATTGGCGTCGAGACCCACATGTTTATCCGTGGCCAGACGTTCTTGCGCAAATTCGACCCGATGATCCAAACTACGATGACCAAACGGTATGAGGATATGGGCGTGAAGATCCACAAGGGATTCAAGAAATTTGAGGCGGTGGAGCTCCTCAGTGCTGGAAAGGGGGCGGAGAAGAGGCTGAAGATCACTAACAGTGACGGGGAGGTGTTTGAGTTTAACGAACTGCTGTGGGCGATTGGGAGAGCTCCAGCTATTCAGGATCTGACACTGGAGAACGCTGGAGTCCAGCTTACACCCACCGGCCATATTGCTGTTGATGAGTTTCAAAATACCTCCGTGGACGGGATTTATGCCTTGGGTGACGTGACTGGACAAGCAGAACTGACCCCTGGTGCGTTATATATTTCCGTGACCTGATTTCTCCCCCTTGAGATTGAGAATCTATGAATCTCTTACTGATATGTTCCAAACAAGTCGCCATCGCCGCCGGTCGGCAGCTCGGAAACCGCCTGTTCGGGCCTGCCGAACTCAAATCCTCCAGACTATCCTACGACGTCATCCCTACCGTCGTCTTCTCGCATCCCGAAGTCGGCACGACAGGCCTGACGGAGCCTGAAGCCATCGAGAGGTACGGCAAGGAGAATATCAAGGTCTATCATACGAAATTCTCCGCGATGTTCTACGACGTCATGCCAGCGGAGGAGAAGCAGAAAAACCCGACGGAGATGAAACTTGTCTGCGCGGGCCCTGACGAAAAGATCGTTGGTCTGCATATTCTGGGCCTGGGTGTTGGGGAGATGTTGCAGGGCTTTGGGGTGGCGGTTAAGATGGGGGCGACAAAGAAGGATTTCGATTCTTGTGTGGCCATTCATCCGACGAGCGCTGAGGAGTTGGTGAGTTTTATCCCCCTCTCGTTCCTTTCGCGCTTTTCTTGGAAAGGAAAGTGAATTTCTTTTTTAACCAAAGCCATGCGTGGGTAACTGAAAATCATTTGGTTTAGGTCACGATGCGGTAGATACGAGAAGAAGTTTAGCCCGGACGCATATGTAACCAGTAAATAAATGATATATATATTCGTGAATACAAGTTATGTTTTGATTCATTAAGAGAGAAATCGTCAGTATTCTGGTCATTGACTAGACATACGAGTTATGCATCAAGTCTAAACTGGTGGGGGGAACAGGGGAGGGAAAATCTGTCTCCTGGTGCACAAATCGCTCTCTAGATAGCGGGAACTAAACCCTACACTTCGAAATCAATCACAACTTCGCCGCTCTGGCCCGCTGCTTAACATCCACAGGCGTCCACCAAGGATAAACATCTGGTATATCCTCCTTATTCCCAAAGCTTCCCTTAAACACCGGCGGCCTTTTCTGCAAAAAACTTTTGACCCCTTCTTCATTCTCCCTGCCCCCAAACATCCCATAAATAACCTTGGAATCCAACAAATGCGCCGCCTCCGCATTCCCGGGACCCCGATACATCATCTCCCTCATCAACGTCGATGCCACGATTGATGTATTCTTCGCAATATCCGCCGCAATCTCCAGAGCGCGCGCCACCGTCTCCGCGCCCGTGGGCAGCACCTCGGAAAACAACGCGCCAAATAGAGGGTGTTCGGCTGGGTATGTAGCACCCGTGGCGGCGAGGTGTAGAGCGCGGCTGTATCCGATCAGACGCGGGAGGAAGAACGAGGATGCTGCTTCCATTACCAGGCCCCGGCGCGAGAAGACGAAGCCGATTTTTGAGCCGCGGGTTGCGAGGCGGATTGTTGCGGGGAGCGTCATGGTTATGCCTATGCCGACGGCGGGGCCGTTGAGGGCCATTATTGTTGGTTTGCGGCAGGAGTTGATGGCGAGGGTCACGCGGCCGCCGCTGGAGATAGGATTAGTTAATTCTACTTTTCTTTTCTTTTCTTTTATTCTATTTATTTATTCTATTTATTTTTATTTTTATATTTTTTTCTTCTGTCTTGTGTTGCACATGTTCCAGTACGCTGGCAGGTGAAGGCAAGTATTGGGAAAGGTGGTAAGAATGCCGACAAGAACTGATGTGAAGAACAGAAAGGGAAAAGGAGCACACACCCATCTCTATGTTCCACTCCATCGTCACCAGGATTAATCCTCGACCCATCGCCGGATGAGCTCTTCGGAAACCCGATCTCCAGATCCGCGCCGGCGCAAAACGCCCGCCCCGCTCCCGTCACCACGATGGTTTTGACACGGTCGTCCGCGTCAGCCGTATTGAAGAACGAAATCAACTCCTCTGCCATCGTCCCTGTGAACGCATTGAGCTTATCGGGGCGATTGAGAGTTAGGAGCAGGACGGGAGTGGCCGTCGCGGAGCTAGCGGGTACATGATCGACCTTTACGTGCCGGGTTGGCAGCGCCGAGTAGGATGCAGGGACTTGTATGGACATAATGTTGGGAGGATAACTAACTAGTCGATTTGTTTATGGTAATCAGGCTTATGAGGATCTACATAGTAATGAAACTGTCAGCTCTGCTCAGACTTGCCTAATAAGTCTCCGGCGCTAAGTCTCTGACATGATGTTTCAATCGCGTCAGCTTCCACGAACATGTTATTGTCTATGTAACAAGGTGCATAAACCGAAAAAATAGAGATCCCATACCGTGACTTTGTAAATATATATTATTTGCACTATATTGCCCTGTACAAATAATGGCTCTTGGCCAGTTTATGGAAATCTTCTCGTTCCTCCCGCCATCTGCAAGATGGTTTGACAAAAACACAACCTCGGGACTTTTGGTTTTTCTTTGGATGACTAAACATGCAATAGCCGAAGATTCGGGAAGACATTGCCGGATCTGCCGAGCTATCTTTGAGGCGGATAAGTAGGGCTGAAATAATCATTTTCTCTATTTTGATTGATTTTATACAATAGTGATTGAACAAACAGTGGTATCATCCGTCATCCTCCAGCCTGTACTCTCCAACAATTGCCAATGAATGAATAAACCTCAGCAAGCGCCAGGAATCCTCCTATATAATTCCAACCCCCTACAATGCTAGAGCGCTTCCACCATCGTCTGGCCTTATCATTGGACCCTCTAGTTTTGATTTCCTTCCAAATTTCACCCTGAGCATGGTATGGGTCTGAAACCAGATGCCCAAAATAGAACTGGCGTGGCAGCACTCGAAGACATGTGGGTTGGAGTGATCTGCGTGATGGCCACGAGAGCTTGTTGACGAGCAAGTGCAGCAGTTGACGTGCTTGCTGTACGGAATTCGGATATAGAAATATGAAAAAGCGGTGTCTATGAACAGCTTCTACGTTTTATCGTTGATCGTGATCATCGTCAGTATGGGTAAGTCTTCCTCTGTGGCACAGTCTGCGACCAAGCCAACCAACCTGTCACTCCCCCATTTGTGACACATTGAACGAGTAGCTCCAATCATGCAGGCGAAAAGAGTTATCCCATTCGTTCTATCCGATAGGGTTAGTAGAGAAATTGCGTGAAAAGTGAAAAAAGAAAGGGATAAGCCGGGGTGGATTCAAACCCGGTCCCTCTCTTGTATATTCATTTCAAGACGTACCCAGTCTATCTCTTGGGGAAATTGGATAAAGTTACGAATCGTCATGATTTCCGGGCTAAAAAACATGTCCTCCGGATCAATTAAGCCTATTTCACTAATTGGAATCGGCACAGGGATTGGTGGCGTCTGAGTGTATACCCCGTCATGCGGGTGGAACGTGGGTATTGTTGGTGCTGCAGTTAGGGTTCCGAGTCCTATCTCTTGTAAGTATCATATACATTAAGCCCCCACAGATACAGTGATACATACCAGAATGAGCCCTTGCGTCTAGCGGCGCCATCGCATTCGTCCGCTGTACCGGCGCAATTTCATTCATGATGTTATTTGGTATCGGGAGTATTAATCCCACCTTCTGGAGAATGATATTCAACACCCTACACGCCCTTGCAGCACATTTAGAGGACACGGCGGAAACACTTAATATAGCATACGCAGACTCCAACAAATGCAACATCTCCGACCTTCTCTCCGGTGTCATATTGTCAATGGCAATATCGCCAACACCGCTGACACTCTGCTGATTTAGACGGTCCAGGTACATACAAAGAATCATTGAAGAAAGGAGCGACTCATGCGCTATGAGCGACATTTTCATCCATTTAAATTGATGTAGCATGCCCCCCGGCTGCAACTCTTGATGTAGAACCGCTTGCTGTCGCAGCGTCGTCATTGCTGCCTCAATGCACGTCTGGCGCGAGTACATGTACTGCGGATTGTTCCAGGAGAGGGTGTAATATTTGCGGTGCAGCATACAACGGGCCTTTTGGTACATGAGATCAAGCAATAATCGACGCCTGATTAAGCTTGGTGATTCGGCCACGGCGGGTTCCGTGGGGTTCGCCTCGCTTGTCGTTGGTATGACTCGGCAACTATCCTGCAGAGCCTTGTCCAGCTGCAATATTTTCTCATACGGTGCAAACTCTTTTGTGTTATTCAAATCTACAATCGTGCCAAAGACGATTACCATTGCCCTTTTCACAATTGTGAATGCAAGCAAGGGGTTGGCCACGTCCGGTCCGGAAGGTGGGAGTTCCATAGTGGTTTCATCAATATCTTCATCGCGGATACAACGAGGTAAGTCGGAATCCATCTGCGACGGTTGGATCATTCGAGGCAAACTCGCATCTACCGACGTGAGAAGATCCATGTGAAATAATACTGTCCATGAACGTCTTCGCATCTCGCCTTCCAAAATGGACAGTCCGGGATGGTGTCGAGCGTCACGATGGTACCCTTTACGCATAGAAATGCGAAGAACTACCCCAAAGAGAAGCCAGCAGGGTAATTGCATATCTGGGGTTCGCGTATACTCTGTGAAGAAATATAGTATCAGAGCTTCGACCGCATGGGGCGGACCAGTGGCATAGTTTCCAGCGAACAAGCAGTGAACGGCCAATTGGCGATATTGATCCATTTGCTGGTCGGGGTCTAGGAGCGATTCTGGCATTTGTTCTCCAGAGTGGGTGACGATGCGAATAGAGCTGCACATCATACTAAAGAGCTTGCTAACCCATATTATCGGCGCAGACCAGGGATCCTCCCAGAATAGATCATACTGCAGACAGGTCAGCCGCCCTAGCAACCAAACAAGTTACGGCCAGCGGGAGGAGGAAAGAATAAAGATAGGTACCTCTTTTCGAAAGCTTGGACGATGGATGACAACTATTTCGTCATTCAGATGTATAAGCACTACTGATGAATAGAAATTGTGTGTCTGGGAGAAAAGGAAACTCGCACCTAACGGTTGATCATTGGAATTGAAGTATCGAGTTATTAAAAAGTCGACGAGCGGCCTCGGGGGAACGCGGTCAAGTATTTCCATCTGGGTCAGCCTCCCACAACGACCACTGAGTAGGTCTGTTTCGCAGTGGCCAGCCTCAGGCGTCGTCTCGGAGACATCTACTTCGCCTTGATCTGCGAAGTAACCCTTCAATTCGCCAATCTGGAAGATGTCACGAGCAAAGGGTACGAGTCAGTATATCACACAGAGAGTTCATCAACGAAAGCAAAATGGTCATGAATTCGGCAAATAAATTTCTTGAGATAGAATGGGCGGTTGTTATAGACTTAAATGAAAGTAAACGCGTACATCAGCCAAAATCGAATTCCAATGACCACTTTCAAAATATCCCGAATCACCACCACTCGGTAGGCTCAAATTCTGTATCGGCTCTGCAGATCCACCAATGGGCATGGCCGGATCATCGCTACTTCCAGGGCCCGTAGAACCAGAGGGGTCATTTCCGAAGTGATATCCAACACGGTGACCGCGGACCTCTCCATCGGACCGAGATTCTGGCGTGCTCCGCGATTGGGAAGATGCCGGAGATTTCTCTTGCACCAACGATAGAACTATCTCCTCTAGGTGTTGAACACGACTTTGCATGGTAGCTTTGTCTACAGGCCGACGGATCCCCCTAGTCTGACCAGGTGGCGGGGGGTTTGCGTAAACACAGGTTGCCCCTCGGCCGCGGGTCGAACAGTTCTCGCATGGCAGGTTGCGGTCGCACTTTAGTCTTGCGTCTCCTGGTTAGCCTGGCGTATTGAGCGAAATATAAAGGGATTTTCATTGATTCATCTTGTTTTCCAACGCACTTCTTCTGGCGGCACGTCGTGCAGGAGAGCTGGGGTCGTTCTCGTCTTCTTTGGGGAGGTTTTCGGGGAGGGACGTCATCCTGAGAAAGCGCCGCTGTTGCGGAAGGGTTTAAATTAATCATTATCGTAGATGGAACAGCGGATAAGGGAAGTCATTAAGCACATCCATCAGTTGGCTACATAAGCCCCCAGATGATGGTGGCCTAACCCCGTTATATAGAACGGCCACTTTTAGCCGCGGTTGAAAGCAGTGTTGTCTTCTTCGCTGTGATGCGGAGGGCAATTTGAACCCGTACACAGGGTTCATTCCCGTTTCTTAGCCCTGACACCTTGGCAGAAAAAGCAACTCATGGCCAAGTAAACCGGATGTTGGCTAGGCAGCCAGTGGGCAGCTAGAGCGAATGAAAGATGAAACTCTGGAAAAGTCGCCGGCCCTCGACCTGTTGAATGGTGGGAATTCCCATCAAGGGAGGGTTTCATCTGTGACATCAAACCGAGAGCCGAAAAAAAAAGGGAAATGCAGGTTGAAACTCGGTTCAGAATCATGGACAAGAAGGATTGATTTTTTCCAAGAAAGAAGAAAAAAGCTAGCACCAGCTCCCAATCTTTTTGATTTGTGGGATTTCTGATCAATGAGGTGCAAGTCTTCGCTGGAGACTGGCTCTTTGTGCTAGATATCTCGAATAGCATAACCCATTCTCATTATGTTTCCCCAAAAAAAACGTGAAAAGATTCTCAAATCCCTACAAGGTTTCTAAAATTAATGCATTTGGTGAGAATCAGCCGAGGCAGGACTTTTCTTAGTATGATTTAGTTGCGCTCAGTCCTGCCGGGGTAGACAAACTCTAACTAGGGATAGCTAGTTAAGCTAGGGGTGGTGATTGATGCCGAAGAAACATCGTCATCGGTACAACTCAGGGTTGCGGGTGTTGCCAATTTGAATGCGAAAACTGAAAGTACTAAGAGAGGAAATGGAACGAAATCAGTCGGGTCATTGAGCATATTCATGTCGATTACAGCCGCAATTTCCCGGAGCATAATGAAATACGGAGTAGATCCTGGGTTCCCACAGCCATACAAACAAATAGAATTAACCAGTTACAACTGCGGTTCGGTCGCGTTCCCAATCTCTCTTCAGATCCACTAGCTGAGCAACCCAGATGTCCGCAATGCTAGCGGCAGATTGCTGCTTCTCTGAGGCCCGTCTCAACTTTGACACGGCCTCGTTGCTGTAAGTTTTCGGCCTTCGGCCTTTAAAGCTGAACGGGGGAAACGATAATGATACTTCCAAGGTACATATGATATTCGCAAAAAACAGCGCTATCGAAGGATCCCCTTCATCCCGAGAGTAGTGAGATCCGCACAATGGAGATTCTTCTACAGCGCGGGAAACGATTTCATCAATCGGCTGCAAGCGGGCTCGAAACGAATTTAGAAGTTCTCGTGCGTAACTGATCTGATTAACTTGTTTGCTGACCACAAGTTCAAACGCGGCTTCGGCCTGCCTATACCGGGACTCCGGGATGGCCTGTTCTGAGGCCGAGCGTTGGCGAAAAGGTATATTTAGTGCAGCCTTGATTCTACCGCCAAGGCTATCAAATTCGTTCATGGCAGAATGAGCTAACATCCTCCTTATCTGCGCAAGTTCCCTGTCTATATTGTCAAAGGCAACGGATCCATGGGCCATGCAGAGGGAGTCGATCAATTCTCTGGCCTGTCGCATTACAACCAAAGTGTGGTTGCATTCGAATTCTAGTTCATGCTTTGAACCCAGGTCTTCTGTCGTTAATAAATCACAAAGTTCAACGACTTCCGATTCGCCGTCCTTCAGGAGTGTGGGAAGCAGCGAAGCAGCTTCGGTCGACGGGTTGAGCACTTGCCCAAGTCTGGCACGAGAGTCTAAAATAAACTGATAACGGCGGGGTGATTTCGAGGGGCTAAATGCCTCTGACCCTGATTGTCCTGATTGTAATGCAAATGTGCTCTCTGTCACAACGGGGGAAAATGATATCTTCACCAAGTATAACGAGAGGAGTAGGAATACCCCAACCAATAAGGGATTTCTATAATATCTCCGGTTCTCTTTGAGGTGTGAGGGGGGCCTTTTGCCCGGGATTTCGTCACATCTCTTTTCATTATCGCCAGTAGATTCCGAAGGCACTTGGTTGGGTGCGCTCCCCGGTACCGTTCCCCGCGGGCGCTGATGACTAGACGCATCAGTGGATGAACGGGGGACGAACCACGAGCTATCTGGAGTAAAACCCTCGTGTAGAGAGGGCATAATGAGCTCTGGGCCTGGTATTGATACCATAGAAAGATCCTGGGAGAAATGGGCCGGTTGCATTTGGCTACTGCGCGCGGATGCAGCGTGATCTGGTCTAGTTGATGGATTGGACGATGGAAAATCCAATTCAGGATAGCTTTCATCATCAGAATCAATACAGGTTAACTGATCTGCGTCTTCTAGAGACCAGCTCGCCCACGATTCTCCCAGGCAGCGGGATGTCTGAGGCTGGCTCGAGGATGCCATCTTGGCGGGGTAGATAGCAAGGAGTATCCAGTCTCCAGATAGGGAACGGACAAAGCTAGTGAGATTAAGGAGAACTGAATCCGAGTATTGCGGGGGCCGGGGAGGAATCTGGTACTCTTTATAGATAGTTATGCTGTATTTTTGGAGAGTTGATGCCTACGTATTAACTAACCGTTGTAGATGGGTGGCAGCCTGGATTCGATAAGCAAAGTAGGAAATAAACGTGCTCTCATCAGTTGTGCTTCGCAAATACCATATATCTCCGGGATGGGAAAAGGAAGTAAACTGCTTCAACAATGCGCTGGTAATCCGTCGGACCGTTGGTGGGATTGAGTTGGACGTTTGAAGTTGTTGGTTGGGGAACACGCGATGTTCGCGTTCGTCAGGCAACTCCGCAGAATTTTTTTGATTATTTCGAACCACCCAACATGTCCTCATAGCGAACGGACGCCGCGACATTCCACCACACATGAGGCCGCCCAACATCTTTCCAGGGCGATGGCGCTTTGTTCCCATCAATTCCGCAACTAGTATCCGACCTCAGTGGATACAGAAATACCGTTATTATCCCGCTAGCCTCGCCGGGAGCAGAAACTGCTCATGCACTGCGTCACAGCTATCGCAGACCAACGCTGGCCAGCTCCTCAGAAACAACAACAACAACGACAATGACAACAAAAGCGATGCACCTCATCATGGCACCTATTCGCAGACACATACCCTTCCCCCAGCAGACCACAGAGTAGTAGGGACGGAGCAAGAGCTCTTCGTCACCTCCCAATACAGCCCGGGATCACCACTATTTCTCCCCAACGGAACCCATATCCTCAACAAACTAACTTCCTTCCTTCGAGCACAGTACACGCAATACGGCTTCCTCGAGGTCCTGACGCCGAGCATCTATAAAAAGTCTCTGTGGAAAGTCTCCGGCCACTGGCAAAACTACAAGGATGACATGTATGAGGTACGGGGGCGGAACGCAACGGGCGAACAAACGGCGGAAACGCAGATTGGCGAGGACGAATCATACGGCCTTAAGCCCATGAATTGCCCCGGCCACTGTTTGCTCTTTAAATCGCAGAATCACTCCTATCGCGAGTTGCCGCTCCGCTATGCGGATTTCAGCCCTCTGCACCGCAATGAGATCTCCGGCTCGTTGAGCGGACTTACCCGCGTCCGCCGCTTCCATCAGGATGACGGCCATATCTTCTGCAGGCCGCAGCAGATTGGCAGTGAGATTGAGTCCGCGTTGAAGTTTACTGATACTGTGATGAGGACGTTTGGATTTGAGAATTACCGTCTCGTTCTATCTACGCGACCGGAGAAGGATTTCATTGGCAGTGTTGAGCTGTGGGATAGTGCGGAGCGGCAGCTAAGGGATGCTTTGGAGAAAAGCGGCCGGTCATGGGAACTCAATCACGGGGATGGTGCATTCTACGGGCCGAAGATTGACATGCAGATCCAGGATTCGGATGGCAAGTTCCATCAGCTCTCCACTATTCAGCTGGATATGAACCTGCCACAGAGATTCGAACTAGAGTACGCTGTTCCAGAGGGTGAGGAGGACTACAATCCGGAAACCCCGGGGAAAGCAGTGCCGGTCTTGATCCATCGGGCCATCTTCGGCTCCCTCGAAAGATTCTTCGCGCTTCTCATTGAGAACTATAATGGCCGATGGCCGTTCTGGCTCTCCCCTCGCCAGGGAATCATCCTGACCGTTTCGCAGGATGAGAAACTCCTACAAGCAGCGGATGATGCGGCGGCAAAAATGTCCGGCTATCAGCGGGTCCTCAGCAGCAGTGGGGATGCCAACTCAACTACAGGGCCTCCAAAACCACTATCACCAGCGCGGACAACATTTCGTATTGATCTAGATACCTCTGCCAGATCTCTCGGGAAAAAGATCCGCGAAGCCAAGAAAATGAAATATAATCTGATTTTCGTCCTAGGGGAGAAGAATCTAGTGGATGGGAGTGTCGATGTTGATCTTGGCGGGCAGATGATGATGACGCTCGGGAAGGGAGGGGTGAATTCTGGGGCGACCAGCCATCTTCATCTTCTTGACGACACGCCTTGCTGGGACTTCACAGGAGTTCCGGATTTACATGGTGGAGTTAATGCCGTGGCGAACGCGATGAAGATGAAGATGAAAGTGGATGATGTGTATAATTGGTTATTGCGCCTGGAAACGACATTCCATTGAGCCTGTGGCTTGGACTCTTTTGATTTATCTATATATATATATTTTTATATCTGTACTATATACATTTCCTTTGGCGGCATTTTCCTCCCCACAGCATGTGCGCAGGCACATAGCCTCCGGATTGGTGTGCCAGGGACGTTGCTCATAATAAGAGAACCAAGTATCCTTCCTCCCCCGTACCATGTTCTGTGAGAGGTGTAAAGCTTGCTTGATTCAAAGGTTGCTAGGTACGTGGGAAGTTATAGTTATGGTGGAAGGATTACTAAGCCAGGCCGTTTGGTCCGACATGTTCTATGCCAGCGCTACTCTGAGCCATGATGAAGCAAGTGTTGGAGGGATTGGATTGGGTGATTCGTACCCTCTATACCACCACGGCGCTTGTGGTGATTGAGCTCTTTTGCCCGAGTGGCCTAATAGCAAGCGCCTCTGACTATTCTCGAGTCGCCTTGAAGCATCCATCGTCTAGGGGTGCCATTGGGCATCCAGCCGAACGTGGGATTCAACAAGCCAAACCTGGCTTTACAGCTCATTTGGAAACGGAACCTTTAGACATTGATTCCAACATTACAACTACACAACCCTTGATTAAAACTGCATACACCAGTCACTTTCCCTCCCTCCCGATTCGGCTTCATCCATTTAACCCCGATTCCTAGCTGCCCCGCAGCGACGGGTGCATAGTGGCATTTTCGAGAACTACTTTTTGAACAGCTGTTTAAAAGAGAAAGAAAGAATGAATGAATGAAAAAAAAAAAAAACTCAACGCCCAATCTTCTAGCACCAACCCCTGACGGAGATTTACAGGGAATAAGACGCTTTGAAACGGTCGCCACGGATGTGTCCTAGCCCTTCTCCCAAAGCATGGCAACTGGGTAGCTGGGACCTTAAACCTTGTTGGAATTTTTGCATAGTAGATAGTCGTCGACCACTGGCTCAACTTATCGGGCCGACCCACGGTCACTAAGCTCAGCATTCCCAGTCATCGGTGAGCTGGTTGCGGATGGGGTTTCGGCCTTAGTGACTTCCCGCCCGGTCGCAGCCCATTCGTCGCATTCGCATGCAAGATATCAGAACACTACACCGCGATATTTGTTTCAAATCTGCGGGACCAGTCACGGCCAAATGCTGGTTGCAAACCCCCTGCCGCGCGCACCTCTCGCAGCTGAATTGCAATTTCGGCAACTGACGTTCTCTGCAGCTGGGGGGATGGCGGAAGGATTCAATTTCTGCTGATTTCGCTAGTGGTCTTACGGCCGTAGCAGGGTCTTGGATATCAGTTTCTTTCCAAGTTGATTGTACAGATGTAATTTGTATGGTTTATCGGCTCAGTCGTGGTTAGTTAACTGTGCCAGGACAAGAAGAACTATGTTAAGGATTTCGACGGTTATTAAACGTTGCCAAAGTCAAGAGAGGTATTTAGATAGTGTCTCTGTAATTGTAGTTATTGTACTAGTACGTCCATGTTCTGCGGCCATTTTGCCAACTCTTCACGGAGTATACAACAGGGGCGGCTGGAATTCTGTCCAAAACCGTGATAAGAGTGCCAGTGTCTGGAAAAATCTGGCTATATCTGATTCTAGGCGCCCGCTACATCTCCATACATCTCCATTCCAAATCGAGTTGCTACAATCGGCTAGCTACCCATGAGACTCAATCCCTAATCTGTCAAAAACTCCATACATGCGAATATCAGCAACAATTGCTTTTCCCCATCTGAATGGTTGTATACTCCTTGACTGACAGGTATCTGAACCAACCCTCTGCCCCTCCACTGCTGAGAAAGTCCATGCACTGCACGGGTTTGCTTCGGAACGGGGTAGATCAATCCTTAAGGTAAGGTGGGGGGGACCTTACCCAACCCATCTCTGAGATATTATTCGAGTGCGTTTTATCCTTCTCACGTGGCGATTTTCCACGCATGAGCGTCCAACTCGCATTCTTCACCTTCACCCCACGGGGGATTCAATGCACAATGAATCGCAATCAGCATAACTAATAACTAACAAGCATGGATGGGAGTGTGGCCGACTCCCGCCTGGTGCGCCACCCGCCTAGGCCCCCTCGAGACTGCCGAATTGTGTCTGTTGACATGACATTGCCTGGCCGCTGTCGTTGTGTATGCAGTAGCGTCAGGTGAAACCCAAGGCGACAAGCAACTCCTAGTCTGTCCTGGGGCAGACAGATTCTGATACGGCAAACCACCCAAAAATCCGTGGCTGATAGCCTCACAGGCACCGGTATACCTGAACGGGTTCTGATTTTTGTTGAACCCCGGAGACAAGTGACTTCTTTGATTAGGGATAGATTAGGGGTTGGTTTGGGGGGCCAGGGGTGGGGGGAGAAAGAGAGAAATGCGACAACTGGTTGATGCTCACAGTGACCGTCGTGGTTGAACCATCGCCAGGATACAGCCAGGATACACATAACCCTGGCGACTTGAGCCATGCCATGGTTGACCGTCTGAGCCACGCCGAAAGTTTTTCCTGCCGAGTCTTTGAACCCCAATGCCCAAAGCATCCATTGCCCTCAAGGTTTGACGCCGCCTGCCGCAACTATCCCGTTCTGGTCAACCCCAACTCCTGGCAAAACCTCAGGGCAGCTCTCGAGACAGCCGCTTCTCGCAAACATCACTCCCTCCCTCTCTCCTATGCCCGCTCGTCTTCTCAATCATTCACCAACCGATGCCTGAAAACACTGGCAAGCCTGGTGTGACCAGGAAGAGTGCTTTCTCCTGTGAAGCATGTCGAAAACGCAAGGTATGGTGGCTGTAGTCATGCTTTGTCCCCCGTCTAGGCCCCGCCTTTTCCCTGCTTACGGTGCCACTCGACGCCGGGATCGTCGTCGTTGATTGCTTGTTTTCGAGACAAGTCGCTGTTGACACAGCTTATCCGCCCTAAACGTGGGGCAATACCTATCCGTCTTTAGGTCAAATGCAACGGAGCCAACCCCTCATGCTCGCGATGTACCGCACGTGGAGAAACCTGCGTATATAGCCTGTGAGTCGCCAATAATCGTCGTCATAATAATAATCATAGCAACCACGGGCTCCCGATAAGCCAATCATTTGGTTTATTATGGCCCTATTCTTATCACCTCGTGGAATAAGCAAAATAAAAAGAAAAAAGAAAAAAAAGAAAAGAAACCAAGAAAAAAGCAAATTTTGGCTTAATTTTTTCTTTTGTTCCCAATAATATCAGAGCCTCTGCTAATTATGTTGGTGTGTTTTCCTTTCTTGACTTTACTTCTTCTGCAGAACACCCACCTTGTCCTATACAAAGACCCTTGAAGCTCGCGTGGCTGAGCTCGAAGCAACTATCGCACAACTAAGAGGCGGCCATGGGAATGCGGATGACGCAACAGGGCCACAGAACTCAGAGCAACAACAACACCACCACCATCACCAGCAGAAAAATAATATCGAGGAGTCCCAGCGGAGAGCGTCAGGAAGCACCAGACCCCGCGATGCCGACGACAACCATATCCCGCGAGACTTAGTTAGAGCCATTGACGGATTGAAGGTTGGAGATGACGGACGCATCTCTCTCTACGGCCCGACCAGCCTGTTCCAGCTACCTAGCAGTCTGGCGCGAGAGAACACGGACGCGTTGTCTCCTGTTGCTTCAGAGCTCGATAGCCGAAAAGAACGGCTCATTAACAACGCGTGGAGGGAGAGGGCGTTTGAACAGTTGACTACCATCCCTGTAAGAGGATGCCGATTCCATTGTGTTTCTATTTCGGTTTTCTTTTCTTTTCCCTGAGGGTTTCTCTTTTCGTTTTCTTTTTCTTTTTCTTTTCGATATGGGAATTAGAAGATATACTGAGCTGACCCAGGACCCGTTCCAACACCTACTCGATTCGCATTGGTGCTGGGTACATCCGCTTTTCAACTTCGTTTATCGGCCGGCATTTACTCGTAAGTCGATTCCCTCGGAAATATTCCACCCGTGGTTTTTTTTTTTTTTTTTTTTTTTTTCCTTTTGTTTCCGGCCCATCCACGTATTAAGGATACCTTTTTTGCTCATTGGCTGTTCTACAGGCGACATGAAATTGAACGGCCCGTATTTCTCTGAGATTTTGTTGAATGCCATCGTATCTCATTCAATGAGATGGTGCAAGAACGAGCCGAAAATAGCCAACCAGATCAAAGAACTCGACTGTGGAAACAAGTTTCTCGATAAGGTCTGTTTCGGTTTGTTCAACTCTCTGAAGGCCGGTAACGGCCAAATACCCATTGTGCAGTCACTGCTCCTTTTAAGCGCGGAAGAATGCGGCCGCGGAAACAGGACCCAGGCTTGGCTATACAGCGGCATGGCATTCAGGTTGGTTGAGGACCTAGGCATCACGATTGATAGCAGAAAATATTCGAGCGTACGGTTCTCCGATGAGGATATCGAGATTCGCAATCGCCTGTTCTGGACTTGTTACTTTTGGGATAAATTGGTTTCTCTTTACTTTGGCAGGTCTCCTATCATTCAAGATACTCCTGTCAGCCCCCCGCGGATATTGTGTCAGTAAACCCTCCTGGTTTTCATATGAGGATTTTCTCTCTCTTTTTTATTTATTTATTTTTTTTTCAAGCAACTGATGATACAAATATTGACAGTGGATGACACGGCTGAAATTGAGATTTGGACGCCTCATGGTGTCGTTTTCCCCGAAGGCACACACTACCCACCAACACAGTCCCATGCAACCTCATGCTTTATGAAGATGTGCTCCTTAACGGAAATCCTCAACCAGATTATAATCCACATATACGACCCGGTCCGAAAAAGCACAGAAGCTGAATTCCAGACCTGCCTCGTTCAACAAAGTAGCAGTCTCGAAAGGTGGTGGGATGAGCTTCCCGTTTTTCTAAAACTCATCATCGACAACCTCCCGCCCTACTCTCCGCCAAGCCATATTGTTACTCTGAAGTATGTATTTTTTTATCGTGTTTTCAATCCATTCAAAAAAACAAAACAAAACAAAACAAAACAAAAGGGCACCAGAGAATCCCCGTAACTCATACTTTGTTCTAGCTGCATCTATCACACGACGAATATTCTCCTCCACAGGCCAGCCCTGTGTTCCAGGCCATTTAGGGGCGCTGCCGAAGAAACTCACAATGGGAAACCGCTGGTCCAATGCGTATCGTCCGCTACATCCATACTCGCCCTCTACGACCTCTTCCGACGCACGTTCGGAGACGGACATGTCCTCTTATCCATGGCCTACAGCATCTACACCGCCGCGTCAATATTCCTGCTCGAAATCCAGGCGTTGAGATACGCCTCCCCGCAGACACTGGATAAATTGAGATTCTGCGTGGCTGCCTTAAATCGCGTTACAATGACTAATCCTGGTGAGTACATCCCCGTACGATGTAGGAGAAACCTAAAATTCTGGAACTCGGGTCTCTGAAATCATACTAAACAAACCGCCCCCTCCACCACCCCTAAGTGATAAAAACCGCCCTCAACCTCATTGAACAAGAACTCGCAAAACTCGGCATCGATATCCGCGACTCTTCGAACCGTGACACCCAACATATCTCGCTTGCCCGCAAAGCACCAGACGTCTCCAGACCCCACAGCGACCAGCTCACCGCGTCGTCCTCATCCCCATCCACAATACAGACAACTCAGTCCCCGCTTCTTTACACTGTCCCACCACATGGCGCGTTCAGCTTCACGCCTCCCCCGCTAGCGAAACAGCGTGAGGATGACAGCAACGCCATGTTGACGGACCCGGATCCGTCGTTGGCGATACCCGATTCGCTGAAGCAGGAAGGGATGTACGAGATTGCGCCGGAGCTGTTCGAGGCCTTTTCGTATGTGGAGCCGTTGTCGACTACTATGGGTGGGAAGTTCGAGACGGGATGGGGAGAGGGAGAGGCGATGTGATTTATATTTTCACTTTTTCTTAGCTTTTTTTTTTTTTCGTTTTTTTGTTTGGGTTATTCTTTCTTTTTTTTCTGTGGGGTTTTTTTTTTCTCCTCCTCTCCAGATGTTTTTTGTTTTGAAAAGTTTGCGTTGTTAGGAGTTGGAGGTTAAGGTTGTGTTCTGCACATTCGTTGGTGGCACGTAAAGTAAATGTTATATGATGGAAATTCGCTACGCAATTGATTCACCTCAGTATGTATATTTATTAGTCCTTCAATAAAGCAACTATTGGACTGTGCCATTTATTTGTTCACTCCAATTTCGCTTGATTGCTCTAGATAATGTGAAGCGTTTGCCACGGGCTCAAAGAATCGTTCGTATACATTTACAATTATGTATATCTCCATAAAGAGAACTCCATACAGTTAAGCTGTTGAGATATTTTATGGAACTATATCACCTCTCAACTGATAACCAGAACTGCTCATTTGGCAGCTGTTCTTTTCTTTCGGCAATCCCTGGAGGGACCTCCTCCATGGGGCCCACTGCTGCTGGGATACTCGTTGTATAACAACCTACGCCATGACCACTAGATTTTGTTACTAATAGCATGGAGTAGTTAAACCGGTTCACATGGGACATCCTAAAACACCGGGACCATCTCCGTCGCACTCTTGAGAGCTTTTCCCAGCCGAGTCGCACAAAAGCCTCGGGTTTGCAGCCCTTTGTTCGAGAACCAACCGCCTTGACAACTATACAGCCTTTATGGCATGCCGCTCCTCTCCTCCCCCCACTTCGAATTCAACCCAGAGCCCCGAGAATCATGGGCAGCAATCTTCGCCAGAGTAACAATCTCAAACACAGATCAACGAAAGGAGGCTCGGAGGCTCCTCTGCCCCAAAGACTCCCCGCAAACTCCTGGGACAGCCACATACATGTCGTAGAAGAACCCTCGCGCTACCCTCTCTCCACCACCGCCGACTACCAGCCCAGCAAGTCGCACACCCTCTCCGATGCTCTTGCTTTCACGAGAACCACAGGCATCCACAACGTCGTCCTCATCCAGCCTTCCATCTACGGCTACGACAATTCCTGTCTACTCGACAGCCTCCGGCAATTGGGGCCCAGGCGTGCTCGCGGCGTTGTATGCTTCGACGCCGCCACCATCGATGAAGAGACCGGCCAGCACGGTGGTGACAGCGTTCTGTCAACCTGGCACCAGCTCGGCGTCAGAGGGGTGAGGCTGAATCTTGTCTCCGTTCCGCAAGAGCTGGACGCAGGCGAACTGGCGCGCATGCTCCACGAGTATGCGGATCTCATCCGCGACTACGGCTGGGTGCTGGAGCTCTACATACGCATGGAGACCATGCCAGACCTCGCGACCATCGTGCCCTCCCTGGGCGTCAAGGTGTGTCTGGACCACATTGCAAACCCGAAACTACCCCCGCGCTCCTCGTCGCCGTCGTCGCCGTCGTCGTCGCCATTGAACCCGTACGACCTGGTTGGCTTTCCCGCCCTCATCTCCCTGCTGGAGAAGGGCAGCACGTACGTCAAGATATCCGGGCCGTACCGGCTCAGCGCTGACCCGCAATTCCACGACGTGGGCGCGATGGTGCGCGAGCTGATGCGCGCTGGTCGGGAGCGGTTAGTCTTTGCGACGGATTGGCCGCATACCCGCTTTGAGGGCGTCGATATCGCCCCGTTTACTGAGGCCTGTCTGGGGTGGTGTGCGGAGGCGGACCCGGACATGGCGGAGAGGCTCTTTCGGCGTAATGCGGAAGAATTGTGGGATGTTACTGCGCTGTGAGATAAGGCTCGCGGTGGGAAATGGAACCGCTGATGAAGATCAAGCGGAGATTGGTGGAGAGGCGAAGTTCGAGGATCCAGAGAGGGAAGAACTAGATACCCTTAAATACTCCTTTTTACAGATCTATACAGAGTATGTGTTCTGGAGATGCTTTAACCGCCCGCGCCGACCGCTATGAACTACGATGATGGCCTCTTCGTTTTTCACGAACTGCTCCCCGTTGCACACTGCTTTCTACATCTGTCACAAAACTAATGACAATGATTTGGCTTGGTCTCCCCCCACACACTTCACCGACTTCCTTGCAGTTCACAAGCAAAAAGGGCTATTACAGGGAGAAAAGTTCTGAGAATTCCTAGACCGAAAGAAAGAATAAAACGTATAAAATATAAAAAAAAAAATTAGAATAAAATTTTCAAATTAAAAAAAGTTGGGGAACTAACGAAAAAGAACCCAATTTTATGATAGGTTTCTTGCTGTTCGGTGTCTCCCAACTGCATACTCATCGAATATTCCTCATCTTTTCCATATTGCTTTTTTCATGCGGTATGCGGAATGGAGAGTATCTAAGCGCCCTGGCTATCTTCCGGTAAAACCGTATCGTGCATTTCTCCGCGTAATGGATTTACAGATATGCACACTGAAGATTAGGCGCATGATACTTGCTATTATTATTCTCGCGTCGTTTAACCGTTTCTCAGCATTTATCTCGAGATACGTCATTTCATTTCAGTTTTATTTCTGATGTAAATAAAAACAGTTCGTTAACTTGGCCGCTCCCGCAATTTGCATTATAATAGATAGCTATCCGATAATCTACACAACGACAGAAGTTTTTCTTCCGCTTGATTGCCGCCAGGTCCATCTCGTCATCACTACTACCCTTTTCCAATAAAATATCACATATCGCACACCATATTGCGAGTCGCAAACTCATATCACCACCAATTCAGACATCATCCATTTGCTTCCTTCGTTGTAGGCAATACATATCACAACCCTTCCTTGCTCCCTTTGCTTCTGAATCCATCTCTTCAGCCCTCCAATTCCGAATTACTCCCAGAAACGCGAACCATATCCAACAGCCTTGCTATCGCAGTAATAACGCGCCCTCGGATTCGGGTGTGACTTGGGATCCTTCGGTGATTCCGGCTTCTAGTTCGGGGTGGAAAAAAATAATGACGCATATTGCTGTTAGAAATGTGACACGGACGGCCAATATGAAGAAAAAGTGGTGGGAAAGTTAAAAATAAAATAAAATTAATACACATATCCGGGTAAGAACGGAAGCATGTTTCTATTGTTGATATTATAGATAAAAGGGGTGAGGAAACTACGCCTACCATTGGCTTGCAGCATTGAACAGGAACCCCGTCGGTACAGTTGTCATTTCTAGGTGCATTAACGCCTATATATATTGAATTGTTTCCGGGAAGATATTCTGTCAGCCAAGACTTAATTCTCGCCTCAGAGCGCGAACAAAAAGGAAAGGGGGAGGAGAGAAGCATTCCCCCATGGTTGCCATACAACCAGCAAACCGCATCATGACACCAGACGCGATAACAATAAAGGGGAGGGGGGTCCATATAACTCTCCATACGGGAAGACACAGAGAACGTCGGACAAGGATGGAAAAAATGCATACACTCAATCCCAATAACGGCCATCGGATCCTCATCAACATTCGAATATTTACCACAACAGAAGGGCTCACGTTCACTGGGACAGGTCCAGACTCCGCTCACATTGCTTATCAGCGCTGCCGTCGCCACGGCTGTTATGATGGCACCGGTGATGCTGCTGGTACTGTCTGTGCGCATGGTGGATGTGACGTCGCTTCTGCTCCTGGCTAGCTGCTGTGTTGGGGTAGAGAGATATGGGGCACAGTGTTGATGTTGGTTCTGAGGGCTATGGTGGGCGATAGAACGTTTTGATGTCAACAGACGTAGAGGAGAAGATGAGTGAGAAGAATCGGACTACTCGATGTCCATGTTGGGCCCGAGGTGGACTCGCCATCCATTGATATAGCGTCACATGTCTGCATCGTACGCGATGTGGTTTTGAGGCAGGTGGGAGGACGGCGGAGATAACCCGTGATATGGATCTCTGCCCAGTGCATGCAGGTTAAGGGGCCACATGAGGCATCTGCAGGCATTGCAGGTCGAACAAGCCAGAATTCAGCTGGTTGATCTTCAGAAATGTACTGGAAAACGGGGTATTGTATACAGCGACATCAGAAAAATCCTGTTTATTTTCAATGGGTGGGTTAATATATCACAGATGACAGGCTTGCTTGATCAAATCCGTTGCATCTCATGATCCGAAATGCACATGCAGGCCTATGACTAAACCCCATCCTGTGAATCCACACACTAGATATGAGAAATAATTTCAATCTGCCATCAATTTACGGAGCATGTAAGTTGCCAGAAAAAAATCAAAGAAACCAGATGATTGACGTGATATAATCATGACCAACTATTGGTAGTGAAATCTTAAGAGAGATATGAATAAAAATGATAAAAATAAAAATGTTGTGGTTGGGAGGGCCCTTGGGGACATATCATGTACATACTGTGTGTGTATGCACAGTACAAGAATCACCAGGAGTAGATGAAGTAAGATAATGTCATGTGGATTTAACATCCGTTCCTTCTGTCTTCAAGCTGTCTTCAATCGCCTTACGCGGGTTCGCAGGTCCTCAGTGTTGAGTTACTTCTCAGGCTATTTCCTGTACCTTTTTTGAAACAGAGATGTCATTTATGGCTTCCATAGCATCTATTCCGTGAGCGCCCCCAGTCCCTCTTCACCACGAAATTGCTCCCCAGCATACCTTCGAATCGACGCAGCGAGAGTGCGTTCCAGTTCGGTATTTTCATCTCCGTCTTCATCCTAGTCCCATTGGGGGCGGCTGTAGATTTGGGGATATGACAAAACCAGAAGATCTTGTTTTTGTTGCAATATGTTGATAGCATCAGCTGCCGAAGAACCGGACTCCCTCCACATTCTTGAGTTCCCTAGCGTGTCCCTTCTGGGCCTAGCACCTCCGAATCTAGTATAGCGCCATAGAACGTCACTTTCTGCAACTATATAAGAGGCCTCATGTTCCCCCATCATGCACGCACTCTTCTTCATCCTTTTCACTCTCCTCCTCTCCGTCACATCATCCCCCGGCCCGCCTCGGAGATCGGCCGCCCCTTGCGCTCCCCGCCCTGGTTTCATACCAGCTGCGCCTCGTTTCTCTCTCTACTCCGCGAGCACGGAGAGCCATCGCTGTGTCAAATGACCGCGCGCGGAATAGAACAGCCGTCTTTCTGCTTCCTCTTGTTTATCTTGCTTTTCTGCTCTTCTCTGTGCTTTTGCATTCCACTGGATTTCTTTAGCAGCCCGTGCTCTCTTCTCCTGAACTTTTTTCAGATCTCTTATTTTCTCTGTCTACAGCTGAGTCCCGCTGCTCTGGATTTTTTTGCATTCATATGGGCATTGCTGCATGTGCGCCAGTGTGCCGTGCCCACGGTGCCTCGGACCAATGGCAAAAATGCCTCGCTACATCGAGCGCCGCTAGCGAGACCCATGCCTGCAGCTGACGTCGCACACCTGACTTCCGCAGGCTTCTCGCCCTCCGGATTGCTGCAGGAAACAGAGGCGATGCACTGGAACTTCCGGATTTGGCATTTGGTATGGGGCAGGCAGCATCATTGGTCATATAAGGCGCAATTGGTGGCTGCAACCCTGCTAATGGCGTGCTCCTGATTACACTTCAAGCAAGTGGTTGTGCCATGGCATTGGCTCTGACGGCGAACACGAGCAGAGTTCTTGTCGCGCCAGTTATCCCAGCTCAGGGACCTGGGAGCCTGGAGAGGAAGGGCGGTACGCAGTTTTACGTGAGTGGTGGAGCGGACGCTACGGGCACTTGGGCCGCACAGCCTCGATGGCCCTGGATAGAGCGCATTTTTCTCGCGCGTCCATGTCTCCATGATTTTCCATCTACCACTTTTTCATTGGAGCAAACAGGCCACGAACCTCAGTTTCTGTGGGCTGTGGGACAAATCATAGGTCTACGACAAGCCTACTACATCACTCGGGAACATAGCGGAATAATCCTTGCAAGAGAAATTTTGAGCATTCTTGTGGACCACAGATGCTACACTACTAACATCCTCATATAAAACACAACTCTTGCTCCCCAAGGTCTGTTGCAAGAAGACTCCCAAGAGCTACCCTGACATTACCTCCCATTGTACCCCCCAGCATCTCCCAGTCCCCTTCCACCCTTTGCAATATCCGAAAACGTTCGCTAGTAGCCATGCTCGTGGACTTGGATAGCAACCTTTTCATCCAGACCCCAAGCGCCTTCGCCTCTCCACTGCCATCCAAACCCCCTCCACCCAGCAGAGCTCTCAATCCCCCATTCTTCATCACTCCATGCTTGCCTCAAAAAGACCGCCACCGTGTATGTCAGTTCCACTGCCCCCAGATACGTGCTCAATACCACAGCCTGTCCCCAACCCAGGCCATGGTCTTCCTCTAATTGCACCTGCCCGGGTGCTTCAGCACCCGTTGCCACCGCGTCCTATTTGCCCGGCACCTTCCACGACGGCGGAGCGCAGCACATCACCGGCCACCAAAGCTCCGCCGAACGACTTTGATGCTGCGCTCAGGGTCTTTGAGCTTTTGGAAACTACAGACCAGATGCGAACCGGTTCTCTAAATGTTCCTAGTTTGCCCGAGTCTAGGGAGGTTACACCCCAAAGGTTAGCGGGAGATGATCGTCCTATACCCCCAGGTAAAACCCTCTCGCTCAGACTCTTATTTGTTTTTGTCCTTGCCGCTTTGGCTTTCTAATTTGGCCTTTTGTGATTATGTTAATTGGGGCTCGATTGATACTTAATACTGACCACCATCGATTTTACAGGTCCGCACTTCGTGCCAAATCACGACCCGCTGACTGAGCGGGAAAGCCAGCGTGAGGTTTCACAGCTCTGCAAGACACAGGTCAATAAATCATTGCCTGGTGTTTCCAGCGCGTTAGATGTGGACAATTGTTCCTTGCCAGGCTTACCAGACCGGATTCGAAGCGGGGCGGTCAAGTTAACCAACGGTGAATGCCTGCCGGGAGGCAGGGTAGGCAGTCCTGTACCGTCCACAAGGGCTGTTGAGTGTCCAACCACGGCGCCTCATGTCGAGACCGGACAGAATCATGGGGCCGGAGAACCTCCCGCTGACTATCTTGAACCTGGCAACAGTGTCAGGCGGCAGGTCGCCGTCGAAGTTGTTATCCCACCATACAACGGCATCCTCGGTACCGCACTGCACCAAAACGCAAGCAGTGATCTTGAAGTTAGCTCCATGACCGAACACGAACTCCACGACCCTGAGCTGGCGCCGTCAGAAGAAGGTAGCGACAACAATTACCGGCCAACTGGCAGAACTGACGATCCCCCCACACGGCCCTTGAAGCGCCGTAAGCTGGCGAAGCAGCTGTCCCCACCCCACCTCCCTCCTCCACCTGCTCTGGCCGTGGATGGTGAGTCATCTGTCTATCGCCCTCACTCTGGCTCAACAAGGCATAATGGACTTGATGCTAGGCCTCCACAAGCTTGTTCTGGTATGCTTGGGCGTGGTGGGCGCCAGCAAGATGGGGGCAGGGCTTCCCGAAGGCGGTCTTCACACAAAATACAAACATCTCCATCCCTTCACAGTGAGAGTCGTTCGATCTCACGCGCAAGCTCAGAGGGCAGCGATGTCTCGCCTCCCCCGGCATTAGTGCTCTCGTCAAAGCAAGCAATGGAGTTGTCAGCAGCTGTTGCGACCAAGCTCTTTCAGCTCCTCACCAACCCCACCCCATCAGCAATGGTCTCCTCTCCAGTGCACCCGGCCTCTCAGGAGGATGGCCGCAACCCAAGGTATGGTGAAAGGGCTGGTAGTGGGCCGCGCCGTACTAAGTGGACGCAGGGTGAGGAGGACATCCTCAGGACGATGAAGCGCAAGCGCTGCTCTTGGCTAGAGATTGAGGAGCGGCTTCCATGGAGGACTCCCGCCTCCCTCCGGCAGCGGTACTCTGTCCTCAAAAATTCCTAGTGGTAGCACCAGGGTTAGAACAATTTACGTGGTGGTTGGTCTCCTTGGTCTCTCACGCTCAACTTGACGACGCTACTCCTTTGGCAAGATGAACTGCTTTCAGATTAATCACCCGGGTGCGTTTCCTGCTTCCCTGCTTCCCAGCTTCGTCCTGCTTCCTAGCTTTGCGTTATTGAGTACGAACCCTCCAACATTCGCCCAAAGGCTCCAAAAGTGAGTGCGAATACGAATTCCGGCACCACCCACGCGGAACAAAACAGCTCGCGGCCCCATCCCTTGTGCAAACCGCGAAACCAGCGAAACCACCAAGTACGGAATCGCCATTCCCACCATTTCAGAGCCAGCCTGCAGGTGGAGAGAAGAAAGACAGTATAACAGCAATGATGAACGTCCGCTTTGTGGTTTCTTCTCCTACGATGACGATCTTGGCCTGCCGGACACTGAGGCGTGCCGTCACCCGAAGAATCCCAGCTGGAGCCGTGAGAATAGGCTTAGCCACTCAGGTGGTGATGCCGCTTGCAGGGATGGGCCCCGTACACGCAGAGCCGGGAGACACTCAAGGTAACCTCTTCGACCTCTATAAACCAGACAACCACAATGCGGCCCTCTACTCGACACAAGCGTAAGCACGACCACCTATTTCAACAAGAGGGTAGCGAGTTTGAATCCATCGAGATGATCGACCTGAGCGGTGCAATGGATGACACTCCCCAAAAACCGAGCTGAAAGCGGCCCAAGATCATTACGCCAATGTCTCCTACCGAACGTCATTGCACATCAAGGGGTGGCAGTCGACTGGATGGGAGCGCCCGGTTTTGGGAATACAAGGGCCTCATCGGCTATGAGGTGGGAAGCCGTGCGTTCGCGTTGCATGGCACTCCACCTTAGAGCCCGCCGACGGGTTTCCTCGCGACCAGGTGGATGAGGCGAAACGCCTGCAGTGAAAGGGTGGAGGAAAAGCAAATAAAGCGGGCAGGCCAACGAAGGCGCGAGCACAGCAGTAGGCAATGTATCTATTAAAGCTAATATAATCTTGCTTGTTTCATATCTACGAACATCAGTCGTCCATGGCCCGCGTGTAGCCAAACAGACCCCTCGCGGTTTCCGGCAACGGCCGGTCAACTATCCCATCTACGTGGCGTCTCCCGCTGGAAAAGTTCCCGGTTGCGAAGTAGGCTTAAGCGACTCCAGCTCTTGAAATCGTAGCAATCTATTTATTTCCTCTGATGTCATATTACCGTCCTCCGCTGCCTTTTAGCAGCTCCCCCTTTCCCCATCAGTCTAACATTGCTCCTTGCTTTCCGGATAGCACACATAGCCGTCGTGTCTGCTCCGACCCTTTCTGCGATGACGATGTAAATCTGACTAGGGTGCCATCAAATGATGGAGGGATGCTCGCCGGAGGGGTCGTCCTAGAGACGGTCGCCAGTATTGCTGGAAGCTTGCCCTTCAATTCCTCCTTCGTGTTCCTGAATGCCGACTTACCGACTCGCGGAGCTCCTTCCCGCCGAGGGCATGATCTGTCTTGTTCTTGTCAGCCACTAGGCCAAAGGGCTCGTGTATTCGCGTCTCATCTCTAGTCACCGAAAACGCTTGCATCATCTACCCGACTATCCAACGCTGTGGAATTTTGAAACCCTCAGCCTTGATACAAAGGAAAAGCTGACATTATCCGTTTATACTAAGTCCAGTGTTATTACCATAGATAGTTGTTAGAGCAGCATAACAGCGCCCACAGTCTGCAGTGCATCAAATTTATCAGATAATCTCCTCTTCATGATCCTGAAATGGCCATTGCTCTTGAACGCATCGCTCCTCCTCCGGTGTATCAGAACCATCCAGCAAAACCTGCTTCAACTCCATATTCTTCTTCACGGCGTCCTCGTAAGCTTCGGTCCTAACCCAACCATCATCATTCAAACCCTGTAGCTCTGACTTCCAGTGCTCAACAAGACCGTTCATCTGAAACCAAGTTGGCTCCTGCTTGTAGTGTATATCAATCTCAGATCTAGTGAAAGATATGGGGCACAGAACTGGTTCTGGCAGGCTTGCACTAAAATGATCCCAGTTCTCAGTTATTCGGATGAGGGCCCCCTTTAGGCTGAAAATGTCTCCACTCCATTGTTTCTCAGCCCTCTCAACAAGGTGTTGCGTTAAGAGGACACGGGGGTCTCTCATTCCTGACAGGTGTCTTTTATTTAAGCCGCCATTAAACACCATGTAAAGATAAAATAACACTCTGCGTCTGTGGAGTTCATCTGCTTGAGCCTTCTCCTCTGGGCTGAGTGAGTCATAGCCATCTGGGAGGACTGGTTTCTCAAGTGTTTGTGGTGGAGGGTGATCAGGGCTCTGGAGCATTGGGGGATGCCCTGTAGCAAGTAGAAGTGGAAGCAAGGTTGTATGTTGCCAATCAATGATGCAAGAAACCTTGTGGGTTTCCGGGCAAATGAATATATTCCCGGGAGTAAGGTCTAAACACAATCAATCACTAGTCCTGTTGGTGTGAATGGGGCTTACTTACCTGGGTGGCGCAAAGTGGGACAGTTCAACTCACTGTGTGGATCGCCGCCAAATAGGTACGGGGCCAGAGCCATGTACTGGTTCAAAAGCTGGATGTGGTCGTGCGGAGACTTGATGCCTTCAAAGTTGACAACATGGGGAAATCGGACAGGACGGGGTTTACCATATCTTTTCGTCCACTCACGTTCCCGTTTTCCTATAGCAACCAAATAGGCTTTCGGTGTTTTCCCTGAAGGGTACTCTGTTAGCTCACCTTCACTCAACTAGGGCAGAGAAGGGCCGGTTTGGAAATCATTACAGGGGCCGCGATCTATTCCCAACTCTGCACGTTTGCCGTACCAGAACATGTAATCGGTCGTAGGGCCAATACAAAACCGCTCATCTGCGGATGACATGGCTGAATTGGTGCTCTCTGCATAAAGGTCTTGTCGAAGGTTTGATGGGACATCATTCCTATAATATATGCTGCCAAAATGACCAAAGGGAATGTCAAATATCTTCGTCTCAATGTCTACCAAACTCGTCACAAGATGGTGCCGTTCTTGTTTTGAGAGATTGAACCATCTCGTTTCTAATGGGATTCCAGAGGCCTTTTCCATAATGATATACTCGGCCCCGACAGAATTGTTCGGGTCAGCGGACCAGCCAAGTATACGTGGGATAGGAATTCCCTTTGATCGTAGAAGGTCTGTTGTGGCCACTTCGCTGGCAGTGGTATAGTGCTTTGGAACAGTGATCATGTAGGGGACTTTGGCAACAGCTTGAAATCCATCTTCTGTTGTAAGGAGGAATACCCGATTGAACCCTCCTTCGGCAAGTTTTCGCAGATTGGTGATTTTACCTCGTCCAACATGTTGTTCAGCAGCATGCTTCAAAGCAGCAACATCGAAATTAATCCGTCGTTCCTCAAGGCGACGTTGTTCGTTGTAAAGGAACCGACCGGACGTATATGTGAAGAGTTCATCATTCGTCCTAGTTCCTTCAACAGGTCAGCAATGTAGCGGCAAGTCAAGAGTAAAAAAACGAACCCATTGCACGGCGATTCCATATGAAGGCCGAGCCTATGGAAGGTCTCGAGAGATATTTTGTGAAGCCAAAGGCGGATGAAATGTTGGATGGAGAGAGATTCAACAGACCCCTCTGCGCTGGTATCATTTCTGTCGTGGTCGAGTGTGCAATGCCGAAGCATTGCACATGAGGAACAATTGCAGCATTCTTCCATGTACGCACCATCAAAGCGAAGCTTCTAACCCGCCAGAAAGGAGATTAGCCAAGCGGTGGCTTGGCGCGGCGGCTCGGCCGCACTATTATCCAACACAGCAGCTTCGCCGCACTGCTCGTGAGATCGTCCAACCTGCCGTACAAACAGAGGGATGGAGGAGAGAGACATACGGGAATTGAGACGCTGCAATCTATTTGTATTTATACACCATGAGACATATATCTGAATTGATATCTCATACCCATTGTCAATGAATCCCATTACAGAGAATTCTCAACAAGAGCTGCTCCTCATCACTTCTCCTCTCCTTCATCTTCCGCCTTATCATGCGCCTCGCCCATCTCCACATCCCCAATCTGATCCCCTTCGCGCACGCCTCCCACCTTCAACAGATCCTTGTCTCTCGCCTCCTAACCTACAAAAAGCTTCATGTCACCTCCCCACAAGCCCCTCCAGACCCAACAATCCTAACCTTCACCCCTCTCCCTGTCTATACAACCGGCCGCCGTGACCTACCTTCTTCCACCTCTCCCGCAGGTGCAACATCAACCAATCTTCACCAAGCTCTCAATGCCAATCTACCCAAACCCCTCCACCCCATACGCCACCTCCTAACCCCTGCTGCAAGCCTACCCGCCTGTGCAGAATTCCACCCAACCCTCCGCGGTGGCCAAACTACATACCACGGCCCCGGCCAGCTAGTTATATACACAATCCTTGATCTACAGCGACTACGCCTGGGCCCACGACAGCATATACAATTACTAGAGAGGAGTGTCCTGGATGTTTTAGCCAGTTATGGGGTACAGGGGGCTGAGCTGAGCCAGATGAATCCTGGGGTTTGGGTGTGTACGTCACAACCAAGATCACCATCAGGACCCAAGTTGCCGTCCAAAAAGATTGCCGCAGTAGGCGTACACCTGCGCCGTAATATCAGTAGTTATGGTGTTGGGTTGAATGTGACAGAGGAGCCAATGTGGTTTTTCCGCCAAATTGTTGCATGCGGATTGGAGGGAAGAGAGGCAACAAGTATGGTGGGTTGTGGAGTGAGATTTGATGGGAAGACTGGAGATGTTACTATGTTGGAGGTTGCAGAGAGATTTGTGAATGCATTTGTCAGTCAGGTTAATGAGATTGGGATGATGAGGGCTGTTGACAATTGTGCTCAAGCAGATGATGGAGTGCAGATTGAGGAGGTTTACAATATCGAGGAGCGGGATGTGCTTGAGGCAATTGTGAAATAGAAGCAGAAAACTCTGTTTCTGCGCAGTAAGAGGCTCTGTTTTAAGCCGAGCCTCTATACTCTTCTACATACTGCATGTCTTTTTGCTAGCTTCTAAAGAGTTCAAGCATTGGGCCGGCGTCATAGTAAATAGGGCGGACAATGGGGTGTTTATAAGGTGGAGACAAAATCCGCCGAGAGAACCAGATAGAATTGTATATTTATCACACTTCAATAATGTAAGTGGGCTTCTTGACCTCCCGTCAATCGATTACCCTACGCATTTGTGGGTGGAAAATTGTTGCGGCTCTTATATTGTGGCGGATGTAAAGCTTGCGAAAACAGAATTTTCTGCCACCCCCTGAAAAGTAGTAGCAAAACACTGCAAAAATAACCAAAATATCCACATATCTCTAGAATCATTCAAATATCATTCAATTCATTCAAATACACACCTTTATCATCAAATATGCACCTTTATCATCAAATCTGTCAATATGCCCCGCAACACCCACCGTTCTACTGTCTCACAAGCTTGTAAAAGGACTTCAACTACTCTGCACCTTCATCTGCTCAAACCACCTGTTTCAGATGTTTCAGATAATGACAAGAATCCAACTGATGATGAGAAGGAGGAGAAGGAGAAGAAGAAGGAGACACAGTCAGAAGATTCTCAATTTCTGCAAACATCTATCTCTGAGTCTGAGATCTCATTCAGGCTGTATGAACAGATGATTATCAATGGAATAAAGGAGTCTATAAAGATCAAGTTACAGAATGTCACAACAAATGATATGACTGTCAGCTTCTATCATATTCAATATACTGCAAAAAGAATAGCTGAAGAGTATGTTATAAAGCAGAACTGCAAGGAGATAGAAGTTGCAAATTGTATAGCAGTCATCTCATCAAACAAACATAAATCTTCAATCAAAATCACCCTTGAGAAGGAGACAGATTGAAGAGAGATTATCACTCTTTTGAAGGAGTTATATAAGAAGAAGATGAGCAGATTTAGCATCAAGATTACCACCTCTTTTAATCTTCTTGATATCTCAACTCTATTCTCAAACACCTCTGTAATATGCAGTCCTGCAGCTTTCATTGAAGTGTTGGATTCACAATTAACAACTCAGACATTGGCATCAAAAAGAGTATTAGATGTCAAAAAAAAAGTAATCTCATCATCTGCCAAATCCCCTCTCTATTGTTCTGTCAAATCCCCTTGAATTCATGAAATATTCAATGATGAAAAGCTGCTGTCTATATGTACAAGATCCACAGCCACTAGCCAGCAGCTGAAGAAGGCTTAAAATCAATGATCAAATGAGCATGATTCTTTGCAGATTGAGTGTGAGATAACTGCTCACTGACATTGTCAAAAGATGAATTGTCATAACTTTGAGCAGAGCACTTGTTGAATGACTTTTGATGATACTCATATTCAACTTCTGAGTAGTGAGATTGTCAGTTGGATAGATGATGTTGAATATGGACATGCAACAGTTAAAAATCTGTCAAGAAAGATGACAAAAAGATTAATGGATAGAAAGGAGAAGAAGAAACAAAAAAGCAAATCTATCTCTGCTTCTAACCCTTCTATACAGACACCTCAGATGCCAGCAGTTATCTTCTCTCTCTCAACTTCTTCTTCATCTAATATTGTGTCTCCAAGTGAGATAATCAATGTGATGGTGATGAAATATATAATGGAAGGAATGAGAGGCATGGGAGGACTGAATTCAAACTTGCCATCAAATTCAAATCTGCTGTCAAATTCAAACCTGCTGTCAAATTCAAACCTGCCATCAAATTCAAATCTACTGTTGAATCCAAATCTGCCATCAAATCCAAATCTGCCATCAAATCCAAACCTGCCTTCTATTCAAAGTAGTTCAATCTCTCAGTTTGGTAAATATGCAGATCTGTTTATTGATGAGTTCTTCAACTGATTGATGATAGAGAGATTTCAAAGAGCAGAAGCTCTTTTAACTGCAAAGAGCATTATTTAGAATGAAGAATTTGAACTGAATCATATACAGACAATGACAAATGAGCAGATGGTTCAGTTGAATATTGGAATGAGTATATTCTCAATAATAAGAGATGGATTAAAGAGTTCTATCTGGCAGTTATAGTTGAAGGAGATTAAATTGTCTTTATCTGCTGTTCATAGTGATGACAGCAGACCTCATACTGCTTCTGCTTCTGAATTTGAAACTTAGATATTATATATCATCATAATTGAATTGCAATTTGAATCTTTCTAGATTTTACAATACTATTCTATATGAGCAGATCTGAAATATCCTCTTGCATCTTCTTCTTCCATGAAGTTCTCAACTGCATGATGCAAGAAGGCTTCAAAATCTTCATCAAACTGATTCTCTAACTGACATCTGTATCTTCTAATCCATTCTTTCAACACATGAAATGACTCCTCTATAGGATTATAATCAGAAGAATATGGGGGTAAGAATAAAAGTTCAATACCAGCTTCTCTGCAGAGATCTCACAGTGCTTGTGAATGATAAGAAGAGCAATTATCCATCACTAGATAGTGATAACCTCATTGGCATTTGGGCAGTATCCAAACACATACAAACTCATTGAACCTCTCTGTATTATAGAACCTCTGATATATATCATAATCAAGATATTCATTGACACTTATCACAGATAAGATTGATCATCTGTGAGATCATTTACAGAGCCTTCTAATGCAACAAGAGAATCCTCTGCTTGACTATTCATATCATCAATCTGCAGTACATTCATTCACAGTATTCTCATCTAAAAATATAAGTTGATCAGATTGATACTGAATAACTTGAATACACCATTCAGCTCAAAGTTCTTCATCACATTGAGTGGCCACAGGTTCAATCTATATCAAATAGAACTGATGGATTAGCAGGTTCTATAAGTGACAATTGCAATAATTAATCATCTTTTTCCATATCAAATTCAGTTTCTTCAACAATCTAGATATTGATTGAGGGTGGATATCAACATCAAATTCATCCTTCACAAAGCAGACAGCCTCATCATGATATGCAGTTGAATATGTCTCAAAAAAATCCTCCAAATCTGACAAGATATCCAGTGTGATCTTTGGCTTTACACCTCATGTTGAATGAGGACTTCTAGCAGTTCCAAAGCAGCAAATATTTTGTTGGATTTAATATACAGTGGTCAGATGGCACTCAATGGTCTGTGCAATCTGAGCAGGCATATAATCATCATTTAGAAGGCATACAATCTCATTGGTGGTAAATTTGCTGAGCTGGGGGGGCATATTGGCAGATTTGATGATAAAGGTGTGTATTTGATGATAAAGGTGCGTATTTGAATGAATTGGATGATATTTGAATGATTCTAGAGATATGTGGATATTTTGGTTATTTTTGCGGTGTTTTGCTACTACTTTTCAGGGGGTGGCAGAAAATTCTGTTTTCGCAAGCTTTACGTCCGCCACAATAACCAACCTCCCGACAAAATTAACGTTGGGCAAACTCAGGAAGCTCGATTCACATACATAAGCCAACAGCGCATTCCAATCCTCGATGAACTAGTTGCCCATTATTTAATGACAAAGCTGTCAATCTAATTCACCATTGTTCCTCCATGGCCGCTTCGTCAATGCCTTCAGTCTATATATCCGTAACTTCGCGCCGAGCTACTCTCAGGAATTCCTAGCCTGAACAATTTGGGCCGCCAAGTTCACTCATAGCTGAATGCTATATTCAGGCGAAGCAAAGACATGGATCCAGAAGAGAAACGGATCGACGTGCCAAGCTAAGCAGGATATCATTCGGATGAATCAGAAAGACGTAGGTGGGAAGCATCAAACCCATCCTCTCTTCTATTATCTAGCTTCAAAAGTCATATCTACATCTTTCTCTTTATTGGGAATCTTCCTCTGTCGCCAATTCTTCCAAGCGCAAATCAGACATACCAGGGCCTTTCTAGAGTGATATAAAAGGAGTAAGGGATTGCGCAGACCTCATTTTCCGTACTGCTTCGGATTACAATTTGTTTACCACTTTGAAAATGGTCATAATATCTGACAATGCTTTTCCACTTTCCTATCTCGAAGCGAAACAAACCAGCGAAGCTAGGCGACGAACAGGGTCAACCGATCTCAGACAGGCTGGAGGATTGCAAGTGCTCTGGTCTGAGTGTTAGTGTCGGGTTTTAGCCGGGTTTCTACTCCCGGAAGAAGCTTCATTTGCAACAACAAGAGCCTGATCAACAAGAAAAAGCAAAAATTCGCTGTGACAGGATGAATAAACGCCAGGGTATTAGTGAGTTAGCAAGCATAGCGAAAAGTCAAGAAATGGGCCGGCATACGTAAAGGAGAGATGTCACTAACCTACCGAATCTCGGGCCCTCCAGCCTCCCCGAAATACGTCGAGAATAGCAGATGCCCCTCCCTATATTTGAACAACTGAGCAATCTGCATGCAAATCTCCGTAGGATGTTACTGTTGTACTCTACAGGCTTTCCTGCGTATCTCCATACCAGGGTTTTGGTCGGTATAGAAAATTATGGGGAGCTGAAGCTTTATCTGTAAATTTGATCCGGCTGCCCGAGACGTTCGTTGATGAAAAGCTGACCAGGCCTCAATTTTACAAACATGAAGCCCGCTTTTTGGCTTCTTCCTAGCCTTGTGGGCGCCACTTGTCGGCCTCCACAGTATCCACTTCCAATCGATAAATGTCCTGGATACAAGGCTTCGAATGTCCATGAATTAGAGAACATTCTCATTGCGGACTTGCAACTCGCGGGGCAGCCATGTAATACCTACGGCCAAGACTTGAAGAACTTGAGGCTTCGAGTCGAATATGAAACCGGTAAGAGTCATGATGTTTGCTTATCTCAATAATTGTTAGTAACTAACTGCTGACCGATTTGTATTTGAATGGCAGATTCACGACTTCATGTGAAAATTCATGACCCTGATGAGGATATTTACCAGGTTCCGGAGTCGGTGTTTCCTCGCCCACATCTTGAAAGGGGAGATCACAAATCTCTACTGAAGTTTTCTTACGTGGAAGCCCCTTTTTCCTTTTCTGTGTCACGAAGAGGCAGTGGCGAGGTTCTCTTCGACACAGCAGGGACCAATCTCGTCTTTCAATCGCAATATTTGAATTTTCGTACTTCGCTACCGACAAACCCAAATCTCTATGGTATGGGCGAACACACCAATCCCTTCCGTCTGAATACCACGAACTATACTGCAACTTTATGGAATCGCGATGCATACGGAATCCCTCCAGGGACCAATCTGTATGGTGACCACCCCGTCTACATAGATCACAGAGGTGAATCCGGTACTCATGGTGTATTCCTCCTTAACTCAAACGGAATGGACGTCAAGATCAACAGAACTGAAAAGGATGGTCAATATCTAGAATATAATTCTTTAGGTTAGTGACGCGGCAACGCTGGCTAGGTTGGGATTGTTTTTTGACTTACACCAACCAGGTGGGATCATTGACCTTTACTTCTTCGCGGGGCCGACTCCCAAAGAAGTTGCGTCTCAATCCGCTCAGGTGGTGGGATTGCCGACCATGATGCCGTACTGGGGATTCGGGGTAGGATTCCATGAGACCCCAGTGTTATTTGATTTCCCTTGGAAAACGCACGATTGACATGGAATTAGTTTCACCAATGCCGCTATGGGTATCGGGATATTTTTGATATCGCCGAGGTGGTCTACAACTACAGCCAAGCGAATATTCCCCTTGAGACAATGTGGACCGACATTGACTATATGGATCGTCGAAAGGTTTTTACCCTAGATCCCAAGCGGTTTCCGATAAAGAAAGTTCGGGAGCTCGTGGACTACTTACACGAGCGTGACCAACATTATATTGTAATGGTTGATCCGGCCGTGGCTTATTCTGATAATGGGGCATTCAACAGGGGTGCTGAGCAGGGTATCTTTTTGAAAAAAGCTGATGGTTCTATATACAAAGGTATGTATCGAATATCGAAATCATATCCGACTCTTTTCTAAATGTTAGCAGGTGTCGTATGGCCTGGTGTGACGGCTTTCCCTGACTGGTTCCATCCAAACACGGAAAACTACTGGGTGAACGAATTTGCCCAATTTTTCGACGCGCAAACAGGTGTAGATATCGATGGCCTATGGATTGACATGAATGAGCCTGCCAATTTCTGTACCTACCCTTGTGAGGATCCAGAAAAGTTCGCCATAGATAACAAGTTCCCTCCTGAACCGCCTGCGGTGCGACAGATTCCGCGACCCATTCCAGGACTTCCATCGACCTTCCAGCCGCTCCATAGTGGTGCCAAGAGAGCCGGTGAACACGGCCATAAAATGGGCCTGCCAAACCGCAAGCTGATAGACCCGCCGTATAAGATAAATAATCAAGCAGGGTCCATCAGCAACAAAACGGCGGACACCGATTTAGTCCATGCAAATGGATGGGTTGAGTACGATGTCCATAACATTTACGGAAGCAGTAAGCCTTTCTTTTCAAGCCATCTATCCGATTTACAACCTTTTGGATCGGCGATTAACTACCATTGCAGTGATGAGCCGGGTATCTCGTACTGCAATGCTCAGGAGACGACCGTCCGTGAGGCCATTGGTTATTACGCGTAGTACGTTTGCAGGTGCCGGAAAGCATGTTGGCAAATGGTGAGGGCGGATCCCCTTTTTGTCAATTTGGTGAAGTCCCATAGTGAACCTACCAAAGGAGGAAGGTTGATTAATCAAAAGAGAAAACTGCTACCGATTAGCTTTTGTCTGCATTTCTGACAAAAAATTTGGAGAACAGGCTCGGCGATAATCTGAGTACCTGGGAAAAGTACAGGACATCAATTGGGCAGATGCTTGCTTTTGCATCCATCTTCCAAATACCGATGACGGGGAGTGATGTTTGCGGCTTTGGAGGTATGCTAGAATGTATAATGAGTCTAGGTGATATCGTTAACTAACTACCGCAATCAGGCAATACAACTGAACAACTTTGCTCCAGGTGGGCGATGCTTGGTGCATTCAGCCCGTTCTACCGCAACCATAACGGCATCGACTCTGAATCCCAAGAATTCTATCGATGGAAATTGGTCGCAGAAGCCGCCCGGAAAGCGATCGAAATCAGATACAAGCTGCTCGATTACATTTACACGGCATTCAACCGGCAGGCAAGGACCGGTGAACCTCTCCTTAATCCGCTATTCTACCTTTATCCTAAGGACCCAAATACCTTCGCGATCGACCTTCAATTTTTCTACGGAGACGCCATCCTAGTCAGCCCGGTGACAGAGGAGAATTCCACGAGCGTAGACATCTATCTGCCAGACGATATCTTCTATGATTACTACACTGGCAAACCAGTCCGCGGCGAAGGCAAATCCGTCACTCTCCACGATGTTGATTTCACCCACATCCCTCTCCATATCCGCGGTGGAAACATCGTCCCGCTCAGAGCTAATAGTGCCAACACAACCAAAACCCTCCGTGAGCAACCCTTTAACATCATCATTGCGCCAGGTCTTGATGGCGATGCCACCGGAAGCCTATACCTCGACGATGGTGAATCTCTAGAACAGAAGCATACAATGGATATCAAATTTTCGTATAACAAAGGGCAATTCAAAATGGAGGGCAAGTTCGACCCCAAAGCCATTGGCCAATTGAAAATTGCGTCTATCTCCGTGCTTGGTCATAATGGGAAGGCAGCTGAATTTAAAATGGAGGGTGGTGAGGGCTCTCAGTACGAATATAATGCCGAAACTGAGGTATTTTCCACGAGAGTTGACTGGCCGTTGACGGGGCCGGCGCAATTGAAGCTTTCGTGATTGGGGAGTGTAACTGTCAGTGTAGGGCTAACAATACCATCTTCGGCTCTCCTTGCGTTTGTATTTCTGGCGGTTTCTAAAAAATAAACTTATAATATGATAGACCGCACATTGTTGCTTGTCCCATCGTCCCATCTTTCTATCAAAAAATTTTCCGTAAAGGAGTTCAAATGGTTCATAAGGACATGATGTTCACCAAAAATAGGAGGTCGGAGTCGACATGAATCCCAGGGATTAACTGCGAATATCAAAGCATTGGTGGCCCAACAACTAAATTTTATGACGGCCCATTGGTTAACAGGTTGAAGCAAGTTAAAAGGCACGCAGTATGCGGGTAATGCACCATTCTCAATCAATAGTGATGTATGCAAGGTGGGGCAGACCAAGCGGGTGGCGCCATGGCTTGCTGCAACACAGGTATGTGGCACCACCAATGCAAGTTCCCGTGTCCGGCTGAAACTTTACTTCTGTATTTTCATTTCTTAGCATTTGTTTTGCATTTTTTTCTTTTCTATTTTTCATCTTCATGGCTGTCAAAGGCACCAATCCAGGAAATAGCCTGGTGATTCTCATGTGCGCGGAGCGGTTTTTGCGGTTGAATGGATTCACCAGTTTGGCCTAGGCGACAGAGCTGAATTGTGTGCGGGGAGAGCTGGGAAGAAACTTTCAGGAGCCGAACATCTAGTACGCTTGTGCCACTCTTCTACTTCACAGCTAAGAGCAATAGATATATGGATGAAGCCGTGGTATTCGGCATGCGGCACAATAATAGTAATATATTCGATGGAATAAAGAGAGCGCCTAAGACGAGTTATATAAGGTATTTATTAAAAATGAGACTCATGCAGGGGAGGTTTTTGGCTCATGCCCACATTCGCTTCACGGGTTAAAAATGAGCGTTGGAAAGATCAATAAATATGATTTAGGAGGCGGGTATATATATACTTGAATATAGGCAGAGCAGCAGACTGAGTAGGAACCGGATATGGCCCAGCTGCTTGAACACATTTCTGTCTCCAACTCCCCTCACACGGCATGGATGAGAATTTAAAACACAAAAGACGAAAATTTATTGCGTACGTACGAACGCAGGAATAATATTCAAAGAAAGTGAAATTGGGCATATTATGCTTTCATTTCGTCATCGAGGACCTTCTCATTGGCGGCCGCTTTTGCTCGTCCGCGGTATTCAGACTCCTGGATCAAGTTCATTTGTTCTTCCTTCCTGTCGAGGCTCCTGAATGTGAACCAGAAGACGAGACCACCGCAGAAGGCGATAATAGCAACAATAGTGTAGTTCCAGACAAGGAGAGGATCCTCAGAAACGGAGACGAAGGCTTGACCAAGGGCTGCGGATACGGCGCTGGTGAAATGGTAGAAACCTATCGGGGGAGAGAATGTCAATATATTTGTATAATACTTGAAAAGAAGAACAACAACAATGATATTAGAGGAGTAGAAAACTGACCGAAAACCAATCCTCTCATGTTGGCAGGTGCTTTGGTATACGCATATTCAAGGCCAGTAATTGAAGCCATAATCTCGGAAAGACCCACAAGGACATACTATCGATTGGGTTAGTACTTTTGCAAACGAGCTGGGAAGATTTGTTTCTAATGAAGGGGCCCTTACAGCACCAGCCTGGACCCAGACGTTTATTGGCGCAGGAGTATCACATTTGTTCATGTATTTCCCGCAAGCTCCTTTGGTATAGATGTAGTGCTGGACGACAGCAGCCCAAATCATTGCACTAGTAGCAACAAAGAAACCGGCTGCCATTCGTCGAAGTGGGGAGAAGCGAATTCTAATGAAACGCAAGAACGGATAAACTAGCAAATCTAAAATTGGGATCATGATGACAATCCCTAGAGGATTCAGGTTGTTGATGAGATCGTTCGGGACACCATGAAGCTCCAATGTTGCAGCCTGAGAGGTAAGATTCCCGTCGATTTGATTATATGCCAGCCCTAATTATTGTCAGTGCTGCGCAAGAGAAGAGTGCGTACATATTTGCTCTTACAGAAAAGTGGATAATAGGCAAACACCAAACAAGCTTTGGTCCCTCTGGCAACTTGATCTACCCAAGCATCGTCGAAAGTCATCCACTTGGGCTTGTTCGCGACGTTGGAAGGTTTCACGTCGTTCCAAAAAGCTGGGGACCCCAGGTTACGGGTACTATTGTACAAGTTAGGTGTGGACTTTTTCAGTTAGAGGGATTAGCGCTTTCTTACGTTCTTCTGGGATTCCAGGAAACTTTCCCTTTGCAAGCAAACTTGATCAGTTTGACGGCGTTTCCTAGGACAGATTCGGTCGGTGGATAGTGAACGTATTTCCTGTGAAACACTACAAGGACGAGGGGGCAGATGCAGAACATCACAGTAGGGAGAGTGAAGGAAAGCCAGAAACCAACGTAGCGTTCGGCGTAGACCATGGTGACTTGGCCAACGATAGAGCCGATGTTAATGCAGAGATAGAAATACATAAAAATACGCTGCGTAGTGAGAGCTGGATCCAGAATAATCTTCACGCCTCTCCGTTCAACGACGCGCATCTTGGAGTATTTCAGTTGCTCGACCATAAGCGGGGAGATATTAGGTCTGGAAAATGTCAGTTCCACATTTCGAAGCCACCTAACATAGAGCATATATTTCTTACTTAAATCCACCAACACCAGCACCGAAGATAAGAAGACCAATTGCCAGACATCCCATCGCTCCGTTAGGATGCTTAACCACGGGAGGAAGAGCGGAAATAATAAGGATGACATGGCCAAACATGGCAAGAGCAATAGAGTATTGAATCGTTCTCATTTTTCCCCATTTCGAATCAGCGAGGTAGCCTGAAAGTCGATGATATCAGTTTTGTGGAGCTCTTTGCTGTCGCGCTTGATGCGATACATACCACCGAAGAGGGGCGCAAAATATGACCACATTTTATTGACTTTCTAGAGTATTAGCAGTCTGTGGACGCAATTTCAGTGGAAGTAGGACTGCCACGCACAAAGTACCATTCCTTGGGAAGCTCGTTGCCCCTGGCCGAGAGCTACGGAGGGTTAGCAAAAAGTCTCAAGCAATATCAGAAAGGAGTCACGCACCTCCCGGCTGGCCATCGGGTCTAGGGTCGTTTCCAGTAGTAGATCCGGCTGGCAGTGGTTGCTGGACGAAATTGGTCACTGCGAATCTTTCGTCAGTCTAACAAGAAGGAAAATTATTCACTTCCAACATTTCGGACCAAATTTACGTACAGACGATTGTCGTTCCATAATAGGCGAAACGTTCACACAACTCAACAAACGCAATGGTGAAGCAGATCCACGGGATTTTGTCGGGAACGCGAGCGAGGGTGTCAAGCTCATGCTCAGTCGGCTCTGGTCCATTGCCGTCAAGATAATGGTCCACCTCTTTTAAATCGACCTTCCCAGAGACTGACACATCCTTCGAGGGGTTCCTGGCCACGTCCAGATTCTCTGTGGCATCGTTGTAAGCCATAATTCAAAGTCCCAAAAGGACAAGGCTCATAACAGGGGTTGAAGCGGACGCTCAAAATATTTTGGTGAATCACGCGAAAGCAACGAAGGAGGTCGAAAGAGAGAGCGGCAGTTGCACGACGACAAAGGGGGAAACACCTCTTTACATATTTTTGGCCAAGTCAATTATCCATGTTCAATATGAGGTGATATGACCCAACAGCACCCCTTTCTGTCGAAGGTCACAATTTTTTACGTTTGCTTGGACACCGAGCCAAAGGGTCTGTCGAAAACTAACGGGAGTAGTCGAGCTCTTCGGCGACGGTCCAATCACATCCTGGCCATTCAAACCTCCAAGCTTCACGCAAGTTCGCGGGGAAACAAACCTGCCATAATCTTTTCCACGTTACATCTCTCAGTCTTGGCTGCTTCACCATGCCGTGAGTTATCTTAACTGTCCGCGACAGTTGTAATGGGAGTGCTCATTGGTCAATTCTTCCACGATCGACGGTCCAGGTCCCAGATTGAACTAAAGTTGCTAACTTCTCACGCAGTAGTTAGCCCGTGCTGAGAGCAGGGGATGAACGTAGCATCGTCTTTTTGGAAGCGTGGACTGGCCAGTGACCATTTCCTCCAGGAAATCTGGTCTAGTTCTCGGAGTCTGGACACGGGAAACCGAAAATAAGCGATCAAGGCTCAACGGTTCAGAGCCAGCATTTTTATCATTTATTTGTTTTCGGTCCGTCGTAGAACGGTCGAAGCAACAAAAATTAGTTAAGCATCCGAAACTAGAGTTATGAGAAATATTGCGTAGGAGAACAATTACAATGCATACAAGATGGCAACCTTATATATGTCTCCGTGGCTCGAGCGGGCTATTTTCGTCCCAATTGCCATTCCCTTTCCTTCATCCTCCACTGACGTTTCGGACTTGCCAAGAGGCTACAACGCAATCACTCGATGTCCCACCCTGTCGTTTGTCATTTGAATTACCGAACGGTGTAGGCACTAATAATAGATATGGAGTTAGTCTCGAACCAGAACGGAACTTGGACAGGGTTAATAACAATGACCTACAGCGTACGGTGTACTGTGAACGGAGTATATCTTGGCTGTTGCGCTGCTAGAAACGAAATATTGTCCCCCCGCACTATCAAGTATTCAGTCGAGCATTGTGCCGATTGCACGAGCCAACCATCAATTGAGGTCAAAGTCCTAGTATCAGGTGCGTGCATTCCTGCTCCCCACTCTCCTGTTTTGCGATGCGCTTTGTTGCCAGCTCGGTACGCAGTAGTTGACAGTAGAGGTTCATGAGAAAAGCGCTATATCCTTCGGACTATTCTGGCTGCGCTCCATTCAAGCTTTCCTACAACCCCGTCCTCCACGATCACAAACTTTGAGAATATTGCTTTGCCCCTGAGTCGATTTGGGCGCAATTTTTGACAAGTTGCTAACAAAGCTAACCACTGCTTGTTTTTCGCCGAGAAGAAGTTCCCAATTTTTCTCTTGTTTCCCTCTCATTCTTCTCTCCAATGAAAGATCCCAACTTGGCTAGACTTCGGCTAGGGGGCGTGCTCGGTAGGTGCACGCTACTGCTGCGGTCAGCATGTCAGCAGGGTTATCCATGGACCATATGCAAGTTCCAGGGTTTACAACCCAAACTCTGGACGAAGTTTTACCAGGACAATTATCTCCGTTCATTACGGATGGAGTCTGTTGGAACCTCGTGTCAGACTTCCAACTTCGACACCTACACAATATATAAATTGATATACCCACGTGACCTCGAACTTCTGCTTCCGCCCCAGAGAGTTGCCCGATACCACCAACCTACATACTTCTAGTAAGTATTGCATGCAATCACAACATTTCTTGCGGGGTATGGCTCGTGGGTGGACCGTCGGAGGATTCATGTCAGCCTATTATCAGGCTCAACCCGGAGGGCTCTCTCGGGCCCGGAGGATTTTAGACTGCTCAGGACGGCATCGGGAACTCTGCCCTTCCCTCCAAGGGGTACAGTAGCATCATGATTAGTTGAGATCAACTTTGTCCCAGAAGATGACAAGGATCGGGCCAGATTTGTCTAGAATTGGAGGGTTGATTGGCTCGCGATAACGACAGGCCAGGGAGGCCCCTCGTCCTCTCCTCCTTTCCAGGGCCACATCTCTCTCAAGCTCTTCCAAGGCGCCATCCTTCGGGGTAATGACGAAGTATCTGCAGCGTACGCAGAATGCCACCTCTCGCCGAAATCCCCCCTCCCGATTCCGAGAAGAGGGGCGAAATTCTAATGTAGTACTATTTTGCTATCCGTTTCAATTGTTGCGCGATTGAAATTGCGATAGATTGACACGACAAAACGCGATTCCTCCCTGCTTCTTCCGTGAATATGCATCGTAATCCAGGCAAGCCGATGAAAAGAGCAGCAGTTGCTCATCACATGCTGTTTGATGGAAACTACGGCTCTCCTTGTGGATCGGATGCTGCTTTATACGCACCCATTCGGGAGAGACAACCCGATCAAGAATTCGAACAGGGAACCAGCTATTCTGAGGGAAATATTCTTGATAAAGGTGTATATCCACCAAAGATATCACATCAATGATACACATTCACAAGTCAAGGGACAGATCCAGCCTTACTTAGCGGCAATGCAAAATATTTTTCATTCCTGGATTAAAGCAGAACCATGTCAGTAGCGTGCTGGGGAGGCATGTATCCTTGCTTGGTGCTCTCAGCAGCTTTCCCCCCGCCTCCCCCCGGTGGGGAATGGGAGGCTCTTCTATTTCAAAACATTCTAGAAGTTTTCCTTCGTTTCTTCTCACACAAACTTATTGCCACTTCAACCAAGCATTTGGGATATATACCTGACCAACCCTTGTCCCTGATGATTTTTTACGACTCTCCTTCGATGGCCTAGAGCGACCATATACCTCTCTTGTCATTGGAGGAAAAACAAATGCAGTTGCTTCAAACCACTAGTTTCTCCATCAGATTTCAACTCTGATTAGCTGCATTCTTCTCTCGTGAGGGCAAGAGGGCTACATTTTCCTCTTTCCGGTGTTTTGGACCTCCCACACTTCGGGTGGTGTTTCTCCTCTCAATCCATTCAGCGTCCTCGACCTCTTCCCCGAAAAGGCTTTGGGGCGTTTAAGGAGTAAATTTCCGAAAGCAAACGGAACGGAATCGCATATGCTTTTCATTGAATCCATGTCGCCTGTTTGGACCGAGGGAATACGTAGAAGCCGAACTTATAGGTCCGAACTTAATTTCAAAGTTTGATAAGAAACCTATGCAAACCAACGTGAAATGAGTCGATAATATGAGACATTCACTTCGCAGAATAGCTTGGAAATTGGCCCACTCTATAGAAATTGGATTCTTTACAAAAATACCCGCCGATAAAACTCGAGGAAGGGTTACCACTCGCTGTACTGATTCAGAACGGATCAATTGTCGCAACATTTGAGCCTCACGGTAGCAAGCTCAAATTCCTTCACATCACTGTGGGAGTGGCTACAGCTATACGATCCATTTCTAAGCGGCGTGTGCGATACATATCCGTCGCAGGCGACATTGTCAATAGCAAATGCATCCCGTCGACATCAACACTGCATAAACGCAGCATGGAACTAACTTTGCTTTACCAAATGCAGATTGAATATCCGTGGGCCCCATATCAACCATCGGCACCGGCGTTTTGACTTGACCACAAATTCATTCATGTGCAAGTACCGCACTCGCTTTGGAGACGGATCGCGGCATCCTTGAACTCTTCGATTTCAAGAAGTCGAGCAGATCGAGATCGCAGATGGAGTCCAAATAGCTGTCTGGTCGTATTTCACACATACTGGCGAGAGAGGAAATTTATGAATTGCTTCATGACTTCACTCCCTAAGCATTATTGCTCCTCAGTCAACTACTCTTCGAACATCTTGTCTCATTTTCTCAAAGAAGTCGGCAAAGGCGATAGAATAGCAATGCAGCTACGAACTATAATAGCCTTGAATATAGGATTCGCAATGTCTACAGAAGGGGGGAGGAAACAGAATACTCTGACATACTTCCGGAATTGCCTGCCCAATATATAAGTCACACTCCAAGCTTTGTCGAACTAATTATATAGATCCTATCCGAGACTTCTTAATCTTCGAAAGCTCACCATGGGCCCGCCAGACCCAAAGAAGCAAGAACAACGCGCAAGTGCGGCTGCTCCGTGAGGGAGTTCCTCAAAAAGGTAATGATGCGCAACCGGCAAGGAAATAAAGCGGGCTCACTCACAGGAGCACCCAGTTGATATTGTAACACCGAAACCTATCCGCGAAAATAATGCGGGGAAAGAGTTGTGCTAGCTTCTCTTGCCCGTGACATGGGATGCCATCCGCTCATAGTGTCCACCTAAAAGCTATACATGGTGGAGGAATAAAACCCAGATTTGTGACAACGTTGCTCCTCTGCTTTTGGACTCCCCTGTAACCCTAACACTTTTCGATCTCAGCAGCATAATGAGAGAATATCAAATGGAAGCCGATCTAATACACCATGATTCAGATATCCTGCCCCAGGCACAAATCACAAATTTCGATTTGATATTAGTCAGATAAAGTTATGCATCCTTTCCCGACTCTAACCAATGACGAACAACCAAAAGCAAACTTTTAAACGAGGTGGGATATCTCTCTTCCCTCCTCGACGGCACCCATTCCCTCCCGCAAAAAGCCCAATCCCGTCCCATGTGTAACACCTCTAGTCGACCTCAGCACGCCTGCCATCCCTGGGGAAATACCCCATCACAGCTAACGTCCTCCCCATTCCACACCCCACTTATCAAGTAGATCATCCCCTCAATTCCCGAACCACCCCCGGATACCCGCAACCATTTGCGACGCCGCGGGCAACGCTACCACACCGGCCCCCATAGCGCCAATGGCGGGAACAACATTTGCTGCAACACCACCCATCGCAATGCTCTGGCACGTTGCAAATAGAGTCCCGGCCTCCACCGACCCAAGACTAGACTGCCATGTCGTGGCAAACGTGCCAGCAGCAGGGCCGATGGGGGTAAACCCAACTAGCCCGAGAACAGGAGATACTGTAATTTACGTGACGATTATAGCCGCACCCGTCGCGCATTGGCGGCCGTTATCCTTCAGGTAGTCGCCTGAGGTATCAAGGAACTTGACGGCGAGGGTTTTCGGGTCCATTTTGCCTGCATGTTTGCAAGAGTGAGAGTGATTGTTTCGACGTCCGGTAGCTGCATTTCGGACTTCAAAGTATTTTGGTTTATTGTATTTCGTAAAGCTTTCAGCGGCCGGTGTAGCGGAGTGGAGATGAGAATGGAAACCTTTCATATGTATACTAGTATTGAAGGGTTGGATGTGGTAGGAGGCAAGTGCTGTAGACCTCTGATGTAATGTCCTAGAAGCCTGTATACGGCCGGAGCTTAACGCCATCAACCTTAAACCTCACGAACGAATATGTGCATCAATGACATGAGAGCCCGCATCGACTTGCGGCCGAACATGCGCATCGTAACTTGGGGAGTTTTTCTCCTCATACCCACACGAGCCAGCAGGGGTACGTCTTCTTTAAAAGCGAGAATGCTATGGGGCATGTGTTATTTATTTCAGAGGAGCCTCCCACACGCAGAGATCAGAAAGCGAGCATATTAAATGGACTTGAGGGCTTGGGAGGCAGACGGGTCAATCAAACTACTGCTACTATCGAAGTCCTGATTCATCATTTGCCCGGGGAGTTGAATGGGCTGCTTCTTCGATTGCCTTGAGCACTTGATGCACTGGACGCATGCAATATAGGATAGCCGCGGAATGCCCTGATATCAGTGGTAGTGTTCTTCATGATTTTCAAACGACAGATTATGATACCGAGTTCAGGTCGGAGCTGCGCATGGTTGAATGAAGTTTGAGAGTTCACGAAGCGCGAGGGTCTAGAACATGGAAAGCACCCTGGGACAAAAGGCCTTCTCAACCCAGAGAATAAATCCAGTCCTCACAGCATGTTGCCTAGCTTGACAGCTAAGTTTGAGAAATATCAAGGCTCTCAGCATTTTTCTAGTCGTGTTGATGGCTGGAAATACTGATGCAGGTTATATCTAAAGGTGGCAACGAGGGGAGCGCTTCCCATGGAACAAGGCGAGATGGCCGAGCGGTCCAAGGCGCCAGATTAAGGTTCTGGTCTCGAAAGGGGCGTGGGTTCGAATCCCACTCTCGTCACCATATCCTTTTTTTTTATTTAATTGTCCCGATTTATTCGTGCCGATTCTAATTTTATTTTGTTGTGCGTTCAATCTGCTCAAGGAAGTGTGAGAATTCCTCGTAAATTGTTATTTGTGGTGATGCTTTACTTCATTTAGCTCACGACTTTGACATCCCGATGTAGTAAAAGGCCTCAACCGGGAATCGGGTCGACTTCGGTGTTTAATTTCTCGTTGCATCGTCCAGCTTCTCCTCTGTAAGGTGTTCGTTCCTCTGCAGATCCTCGTTGTTCTATGCTTATCTGGGTTGGAATTAGATCATTTTCGTATTCGTGCTCATTCATCTCTCCGGACCGCCAGCCTGGACAAGCATATCCGAGCATTGCATTTGCATCCTACCTAACTAATTAATTAACTCTTGGCTCTCTCAGGCTTTCAAGGGCTGCGTTGGTGCTTGCAGATGATGGCAATAATGAGTCTGAAATCCCCCTTCACCACTTGAGAGCTGAGAGCCGTGAACAGGGCTTAAGAGCAGATATATCCCTGCAGGGATTGCGGTGCCCCCACGGTATCTGACCATGCTAATACTGTAGCAGCCGGGGTACGCGCGGTGAGCCTGCTGTTGATGCGAAGTCTAAAAATGTAATAAATTGGCCAGGTAGAGTGTCGACATCGTCTCCTCCAATGCTCACTCCCCTGGCGATGCATTATTGACAAGCGGCTGATCATGGCGGTACTGAACATGATACGGGATACGAGATTGTTCGCTGTCACCATACACGTATACATATATCCCATACGTTGTATAGACATGGTTTACGGCTTGCAGCTGGCCTATCATGGCGTCGCAGAGATCGTGAGCTCACCGCTCACCCCTTCATCCTGAGGAGCAACACAGTTCTGGAACTTTGTAAGCATGAATGCAACTCTGCCACCTCTCTGTTTGACCTCGATTTCCTTTTCGCATCCTGCTCCTTTACCCCGCATGTGGGCCTGTTCTGCTCAGGAATTATGAAAGTAGGAAATGAGGAGCACAGATTTGGGTCACATTTTAAATTGCCTCTGCAGTCTGTACAACACGGGCCTGCGCCTAGCTTCGAAGCGTGTTCCGCTAATCGCGAAAATAGGAGAGAAAAAGTCCACGAGCAGGAGAGGAAAAGCGTTGATCCTCTCTCGTGACTTGAGTTGATTGCATTTGAGCGCGAGCAATACCGTCACTAGCCGGTTGAGAAAGTTGGTTGGAGAGGTTAGCTACAGAGTCTGAAACAACACCATGTCAATGGCTCAGAGCGATTGGCAGCATATCACCCGTTGATTAAGCATAATCTGGCGTGTGTCATGAAGCGGATTCTCAGGGATGGACCAGCGTCTGAACGGAAAGTGAGCCGCAAGGCAGTAGTGGTCCTTTTCCCATATAGCAAACCCTCTGGTTGTTGAACCGCTAATTAATTAACCCAAAACAAAAAAATGCTTTTGTCCGAAATGGACTTTCGTCAAGTGGTTCGGACATGACGAGCGTTAATTTCTCACAGGCTGGGATGATTTCCCTGGAGGATTTGCTGTCTCAGACGCACCAAGCCGAGCAATACCCGCATGCCTTACCTGTGGCCCCCCTGACTGAGTCCATATTGCCAGATCCCGCATCGCTCCCATCACTAGACCATCGGCACTTTGGATTGAAGGCACTAAATCATGTGTTCGGCTTTTGAAACTAGATCACTGGCCCCTGTTCCTGAAATCGTTCTCTACCTCTGGCAAATAGAGCGCGTAGGCGCGTACGGTTCCTGTCGCCACACTTGCTCCAGACATATGGGTCAACCTGCTGGTCCCAAGCACGATGCCTTAACCTGGAGTGATAGATTGTATGCAGCTTTGGGAGTCTTTTCACTTTCTACCCGCGCTAATGGAGAAAAGTGGAGATTGCTGATTCTGAGGCTGCTTACTCGCAGATCGGACGGAGATCATTGAAGCTCCTCTGCACAAGGTATTCCGACAACCAGCATCCAAATGCTGAAACGGTGCATGCATTCCTCCTTTGAGGAAGCTTTTGAAGCGCTTCGTCCTTTACATCAGGCTCACCAGCCCCTGGTCAGCCACATCGCTTCCCGTCGGGGCTAGGGAATAGTGGAGCAAGGTCAAGAGATAGCTTCGTTTCTTGTTTCCTTTGATTTGTTTCACCATGCTGGGGAAAGTGGACACCTAGAATACTGAAGTTCTACTGGACGAAAAGATCAAAGAAAAGGAACTTTTCATTTTAATATCCTTATCAACTCACAGGAACGAGGGTATGACGCAAAGGTCAATTAAAGAGTCAATAGGCTGAGTTCCCGGCCTTTAAGGCTCTTCAAACCATAAACTCTGCAAACCAATGCCAGGGTATTTCATGGGCTTCTTAAGGCAGCTGGATAAATAAACACCGTGCAATCTCGTAAGGAATCTGAAATAGGCGCAACCCTATAACAGCCAATTTTATATTTTCGATCTCCAATCGGCCAAATCGCACGAAAGAGTGGCTGGATTCTGAGACAGGGAGAGTCTGCATGAGATCTTTTTTCGATTCTCTCTGAAATGGAAACCATGGCAATATATTTTGACCCATCCGCTGGTTTCCCTTGATATTTTCGCTTCCTCCTGGAATGGATCTTGGTCACCCACGTACAGAGCACTCCTCTCATGCCCTGGGATATCAAGTTCTTCTCCACCCTTCGGCACCTGCCGCGTCATAGACGACCATGGCGATGACATCCAATGCGAAACAAAATTTTATACTTGTTGGAGTTTTCGGACTTTTCACGGTAGCTGTTATGTTCATACGGCTGCTCATGCAAAAGATCCGAAAACGGTCTTTCGGCGCCAGCGACTATCTCACAATATTCGCTCTCATTTGCTACTGTGCGGTCACAGCAATGACCGTCCTGATCTTTCTATGGGGGACTAATGTCATCGACCCGCGCGATCGGATGGGGAAACAATTTACCATATCTGACATCCATCACCGAGAGATCGGAAGCAAGTTGGCCCTAGTAGGTAGGGTTGTATGTACTACCTAGTAAGGCCTTGTATCTCTCTCTCCTCCCAGCCACAACATCATGATCGCTACTGACGTGGTCATGATATGTATTTGCAGTCTCTGGACCCAAAAAACCATCATTCTCGCTTTGTACACGCGAATCCCTCCAGGGTTACTATGGCCGAACCATATATTGAGCGCTTCCCTGGCTTTGTTAGCTGTAACTTTCGTCCTAGTACAAGTTATCTCATTCAGCGAATGCTCCCCTTTCCACCTCTACTGGCAGGTAGAACCAGATCCAGGTACGGGTTGATGTAATTTCCTTCACCTCCCGCATAGAGCATTCACCAAGGCTAACAAAGGAGATAGGGCCCTGTGTCAAAACCACCTTGCACTCATTTGTACAAACCATTACAAATACCCTGACCCACATTTTGCTTCTCGCCATCCCGCTTCGTTGGGCCTTTCAAAAACACCGGCCTCTCACAGAGTAAGATCCCACAAACGCCCGCAAAACCCCAGACCTGCCCCAGAGATCACAATTAACCCCTCCCGCAGAAAATTACTCCTCGCCTTCCTTTTCTCCCTGGGCATATTCCTCATCGCCGTCGCGTTAGCCCCCCTCCCCATACCCGGTCACGACGCAACCCGCAGCTATCAAAACGCCCTTAAGCAATCAGAGGCACTCCTGGCCGCATTCTTGGCCAACATCATCACCATAGCCGGGCTGGACAGCCCGTCGACGGACGAGGACGACGCCCCCTTCCTATCTTCCAACACCAAGCGGCGGTCCAATGGGAGCGGGTTCAGGTCACTATTTGATAGGGAAATCGTAGTTACCAGCAACTTCGAGATGCAGTCTCAAACGGCCAGTCCCGCACGGGTTCGGCAGATGTTCCCGCGGCACCCCTGGACGGCTTTCCAGCGGATGAGTAATGAGAATCTTATTATCCGGGCGAAGGGGGGTCGTGATTCGCGAGAATCCAAATAATAATATCAATAAATACCAATGATGATAATGATAATGACGATGGAGAACGGCCACTTCCCTTTTCTTTCCTTTCCCGTGCGGGGTTTTTTTTTTTTTTTTTTTTTTTTTTTTTTTTTGGCATTTTTGTTTGCTTAGCTTTGATCACTTTCGGTATATGTATTGACGAGCTTACATTGCCAGTTTTCTATATATATACCCCACGGGCGTTGATACAAAAACTTGAATTTTGGAGAAAATAATTTGTTTTGGAATGACTGGCTTGAGCGGAAAAGTGGCTTCATCTTTTCTCACCGTTTTTCTTTTACGTTTAAATTCGTCCAGCACAAGTGGGAGCCGATACGATGGTAATAGCAGGCCCGCCGCTCAGTTTGTTGCCGGAGCTCTCTGGCGGACAGTCATTTAAAGGGTTAGCATCGCGGGAGCCCTGGATGGTGCCCATTATATCTGGCTCCTTTGTTGGGCTGGTTTGTCAAATTGAAAACTTTTTGAGGTCGTTATTGATATGGTATATATATAGGTGGATGAAAGGAAGGCTTGATCCGGGAAACACTGTATCAACTGGGATTATGGACTGTGACTACTCTGGGGTTGTTGGCATTTGCGGGATGGCCGTTGTGGTATATATATAAATGATGCTGGGTAGGACTTAGCTGGTGGTTAAGATCGGGACGCTGAGGCCAGACTTCTAGGCCAAACATGAGATCACCTCACTGCTATGCACTATATAATCACACTTCCCTGGTAAACTGTGCTTGATTTCTTTGAAGGCGAGATCAGGCAGGGCATACAACGGCGGGTCCGGTCTGAAATAAGCGTTGAGAGAGCTGAGCCCCGAAGATTCAAAAAAATTCCGTTCTGTCACCAAACCACATCGTGATCTAGATCTGCTTCATGTAGACCGTCAAAGTCTCCTATAAGGTTATCATCTATCACCCTTGATCTTTTCCCTATCGTCGCCGCCGCTAGATGAGGTTCCCTTTCATCTAGTGGGCGCCCTCCCACCACTGCCACTTTCCGAACAGCAACCACTCTTCGAAGTAATATTACTCTGAGCATTAACATTGAGCACTTCGAGAAGAGACAAGGCACGGCCTAGCCCAATGCTGCCCTGCGGAGGTTCCCCTGGACTTGGGTGAATACAAAGAACAAGACTCAACAGTCGTATCCGGTTTCTATGCAATGGTTTCATTTCCCGGGGCGCGTTGATCCGGTTTTTAATCACACTCCAAAGACTCAAAAATCGTATACGTCGAGGATTGTCGGTACGGGTCCAGGAGGAACTTTCTTTCTAGTTAGATCTGCCTCCTCGAAACCAGATGCAATTATTCTTGGAGATTCTGCCGGTGCACTCGCTCTGGCTTCTCTGAAGGCATGAGTTATTCCAGTCTATTTATATACGCCGCGTATATAGAGAGAATTCTAAAATGTAAGCTAAAACTGAGCAGAAGTGATCGGAACAACTATCCATCCACGCCCATGTCGCCCCCCAACATACCATTTCCTCTAGGAAGCTCCATTGTTGGAGCAAAGGTGTAATAATACTCCTCAGCACTATGGCCCTAGTCGCGGGATGTTTGGCCGTTTGCCCCATAGCAGAGGGCGATCTTCATAGCCAGTTCCGATGCGAGATGCCATTCCTCGGGATGAGAGTATCGACGTAACGGCGAAATTCTCCCCCAGTTCCACTTCGCGTCCTGGAGATAGATGGTGGTACAGCATGAAGCCCTCATAATCCTCTGATATCTCGAGAGTATCGGCGATCTTTCGACCGAAAGAGAAAAGGGCAGCTCAGTTCTAATCTCTAAAATAATGGAACAAAAATAATGAAACAAACATATAAAATGAAAATAAATAAATAAATAAATAAAAATAAAAAACCTCAAGCGAAAGGTAGTTGCCCCTTTCTAACTCTAGAGTCTTGAGCGCTAAAACAGCCACCAAAGCGAGTAAAAGTGGCGAACAACGTATGAACACACGTTTCCTCGAGTTTGCCAGAGCCGCGAATTTCCCATTCTATCCCGGCCCAACTTGAATAAAAGAAGAAGCTTGTTCAGAATCTAAAATGCATAGGATGGACATGAAGATGCATCAAAAAAATATCACATTCAGCGCCTCGAAATATAGAAAGCATGCTTATTAACCAGACGAACATCGCATTGCCCAGCGGATACCGGTACCGCTACTGCTACCGGTACTACCAGCAGTTTTTGCTTCGCCTACAAACTAGCCCTCCCCCGAGATTCAAACGGCAGTACTATCGCCAAAGCCCCCGCGATAATGAACAGCGCACCGCTCATATAAACGGGAACTGCAGTGTCCAGGTCCGTAAGCATTGCGACAACAGGCGCCAGGACGCCGAAAATCCTATTAGCTGCCGCCGTCAGCGCATTGCCCGTGCCGCGATCCTTGGTCGGAAATATCTCCGGCGTGTACGCGTACAGAACCGCGTACATGATACTGCTCATGAAGCTGTAGGCGCAGTTCCAACCCAGGAGAGCGTTGGATGTCGTCGCGGTGGTGGACGCGAGGAGGAATATTCCTGTGAGCGTGGTTGAGAGGCCGAGGGTTCCCCTCCTGCCCAGGGATCGGGTTTCGACGAGGGAGCCGCCAATGAAACACCCTGGGATGCCGAGGATAGCGATGATTAGTGAGTTGCGGTACGTGATGTTGGTGGAGCCGTCGCCGAAATTGGCGCCGCGGGTGGATTGGATATAGGGTAGAAACGCGTTGTAGAGAGGGAATCCGAGGCCGATTAACGCCCAGATCAAGGTGATTAGAGAAGTTGACCAGGCCAGCCTGGGAGTCGCAAAGAGGGATTTAAGGTGGCTGGAGTCAAGTTTCTCTAATTTTCGTTGCAGTGCGACCCGAGCTCCCTCCCTCTGTGTGGTGCCGTGTCCCAGACTAGTCAGCGCTTCGAGAGTGAGTGATGATTCTCTCCCATTTCGCCGCGCCACCTCGTGAACCACCCGGACGGCGTCTTCGTCTTTGCCCCTACCCATGAGATACTTTGGGGATTCAAAGATGGTAAAACAAGCGAATCGGATGAAAAACATAACCATCGAAAGCCCACCTACAGTTATCAAGTAATATCTCCATCCTGCGTTTTCAGACCGGGTGCATTTTTCATTGTCTTCCTGGCAGGTTAAGTTCCCCAGGAGAGGCCAGGCGACAAGATTACCCACGACTTGCGCAAGCGCCCAATCGACAGACAAAACGGTGAGTAGGAACTGGTGAGATGACGGCAAGAACTCGAGAAATATCGCAGAATCAACCGGGAGATTCCCGCCGACCCCGAAGGACCATAGCGCTGCGAAGACCGCGATGGCCGCGAAGTTCGGCGAGCTCGCAGCCACGAGCCCAAACACTGCGGTGATGCCAATGGTGAGATTGAACGCCCAGCGTCGACCATATATATCGCAGCCAAACCCCCAGAAGATCGCCCCGGCCAGCAACCCCAGATTCTGCGCAAGGGTAAGCAAAGGCGGGTGGCTGGGCGAGAACTCGTTTCTCACGGGCGTAAAGATGAGAGAAGTAACTATGGGCCAAAGGTTATCGCTGGCCCAGCCGAACCCAATGACTATGAACAGCTGCCATTGATACCGTCCCATGCCGATGTCGAGGATAGCCTCGTTCAACAACTGAGCCTTTGCTTCGTAAAGCGGATCGCTGCAGCTAAACGACAGGGCGGCTAAACGGGCATCTTCATCCTCTAGATTGCTTTCTTGGGATTCTCGTTCAGACAAGCTCTTGTTGGAGGGACTAGTATCGGAAGCCTTGCGCATGAATTCCGAGTTCTCCTCACCACGGGACTCCATGTTCTAGGAGCTTGACTCGGCAACAGACGCTGGGGGAAGAGTGGGGGGGAGGGGGGGAAATAATGCAAAAGGTGCTGCACACATTCGACTGGATAGAGATGAATTTCTGAAACTAATTTAGGCTGACTGTTGATGCAACCATGCCTCTATGAGTGTCTTTTTCTAATTTGTTGTTTTCCTGCAGGGCTTCTGGCGCCCATATGTTGTGGAAGGTTGAACCAAACTTGTTTCCAACAGGGTAGTTGTAATTGGGGTTTGAACTATATTTCATCGTGCACTTTGCCACTCCATGCGTAATCAACAATGGCCACGGGGAACCGGAAATCTGTTATGATCGAGATCAGATAGCCAGCACAGCAAGCTACTAGAAGTTCCGGTAGCTTCCCGCCGTTTGGAATCAGTCGTATGATACAAAGTAGAAATCCATCAAGCTCATGGAGTGGGCCAATTTTATGATGTCGGGCAAATGCCGCACTGTTATTATTCACGGCCACAAAGCTTGAGCTTAAATGCCAGCCCTAGCTTTACATGGAATCGGACTCGTTTCTTTCATTGTTGGCCTTTTCGCAACCGTCCTTGTCAACGGCAACGGCCGTTTTGCAACAGCCTCTCCTAGGATCGGGAACTAAGGTGGATTGTAGATACCCAGGCCACATATGGGTCCGGGTAGACTTCATGTTTCCATGATAACTGATGGTCAGAAATACCAGTCAGTATATAGCAAGACTCAGTCGATTGGTTCCAACCACGTATACGCGGATATGGAACCAGTTCCTCACCACGGGAACTCTCATGACATGACAATTCACATATTCCAACCAGGTCCGCGTCTTCTTAGGACCCTGCGCATTGAATTCCACGTATGCTTCGACCCTGCGGACACCCCATCGGTAGAAGTGGTCTCGATGGACACAAGGCCCTATTTTCGTTTGATCCGCCGCTGGGTCCGCCGCTTGGTGTCTATTGAGCCATTCGTAGATTGTCAATCGTAGCAGTGTATATATATTTATATGGAGAGAGATATTGAGGGGGCGTGGACACTCTGACGTTTGGCGAAACCGTCCCCCGAACTCTGCGTTGCTGAAGTGTGGTGAGAGATGTTCTCTATGGGGCCAGATATGGTTGCAAGCGCCCACGTTGGATCATAGTTACCTAGCGTACTCCGTAACTATATTAACAGACGGTTGCACTAAAAGTCATCCATCGTCACACATTTCACCCTCTTGGAATATCTATGAATTATTTACGTCATTTAGCTATTGTGAAGCTGTGATACACGCGGTTCCTATTGCCTTAATTGTCTACGGATCGCTCTCCAAAGTGTGACAAAAGCAGAAACTCTCGGGGGAAAAAAGGAAAGGAAATATCTTGATTAGAGTTAGAACTCGAGAGCATTCGAGTAGCAGAAACAGCATAAGCTGCAAACAAGTAAAAGGAACGAATTGAAATGCTACTAGCTTGGCCAAAAACACGTTGTAGAAAGAAGCTGATGATGGAATTTTTTTTTTTTTTTAAAAAAAAAAGGACTTGAGCTTAATACAGATATGTCAGAGCAATCAATCAAGTATTTGGAAACTGAAACACACGAAGCCGACTAGATAAAGAGAAAGGAAAGGAGAGCGGGCGAAGGAAGATCAAATGGAACATGTCTTAATAGAACACGCTGGCTTGCTACAGACAAAACTACACACACACACACACACACGCACACATTTTCCCCTCTCTCTCTCTCCCGATAGCTGTAATACACACAAGGTAAATAAGCTCATTAAAACAGAGATAAAAAGAAAAGGACAAGGAAAATACAGGGAAATGAAATACAAGAAAATAATTGAACAGAAGAATTTAACTTGGTCTTGGAAAAAAAAATAATAAAAACAAGAGAAAGAGAGATAACAAAGGAAAATCATGAGAGTAGATTGAGTGAGGAAAAAAACAGGTAAAATCAAGAAATATGGATGGGATGATAGCTAGCAAACAGCAAAACAAAAATGCTAGCAAGGGAAAGGTGGGGGGGGAAGAAAAATTCACATCTGTTTGCTGGATGGACAGAGACGCAGAGAGAAAAGCGAGAGCATGAAGCAAGGAGTACTGAGACGGACGTACTTACAAAAATGAATTAAATGAAAAAAAGGAACCCAGGACCATCATAAAAAAAGTGAAAGAGATGTGAAAAATTTGGAGTTACGCTCGAAAATGCGTTCCATTGGAAAAGGGAAGAAAGCAATGAGGGAAAGAGGTGAATTAATGGACGGTCACTAAGACAAGTTACGTGTTGCATGTTGTGCGAAACAGACAAAACACTCAATCAAGTACGCAATGTGCAGGAAGGAAAGAAAACGCCCATCACCACCAGGTTAGAATGCAGTTGCAGCCTTTTATCTTTTTGCCTTTCTTTTAATTTTTCCCATTAGAAGAAGTGTGTATAAACCTTCGAGGATTCGTGGACTTCCATCTCCTGAATAGCGTAAAGAACTGGGTGTTAGTTAAGGTGCACACGAATGGATAGATTAGAGGAATATTGGCTAACCATTTTGAAAGTATTAAGCTCTTCTTTAATTTGCTGTGCTAATAGCGGCGTCAGTCGATTGCAAGTCGCAATATCTCCGCGACGGTCATACTCTCCACTAGGCCATGTGTCGTGAAATTGGATGCGGGGACTGAATGATATGTTTCGCGCAGCGGTTTGTGGCGTAACGGGTGCACTTGAGGAGTCGGATGTAGTGAATCGACCAGAGGGGAGGAAGTAATCTTCTCCTTCAATTGTAATGGAATCCGTCCGTCGATGGCCAGAGCGCGGGGGGTGATCACGATCTCCATTGGGGGTGCTTGGGGCGCTGGAGTGAGGAGAGTCCTGGATGTGAGGAACAGGAATCATGTCAACTCCTCTGAACTCGACCGGGCGAAGGGTGGGAGACGAGGTGTTGGAGCCGGTGCCAGATCCTATAGGTGAAACGTAACAATGTTAAGACGGACATGCCCCTTCATGAATACCTTTTATCAATGATAAGAGATAAGCTCACTTTTCAGAATTCCCTTTCTCACCGCAGCGAGAACTTCAGCACGCTCTCTTTCACCTCCCATGATGCTCTTGCGGACCGCGTTAACGTTATCAGCACCGTAGCTTTGTTCTCCTCCTGTGTCTGAGCTACCGGTTTCCACAGAAGTACGTCCCTGAGCTGAGGGCGATGTTGCTGGTTCATTATTGTAATTATAACTATTATTATCATTGACCTGCACCGAGGTGCTATTCTTGGACCGTGCCACATTGTTATCGCGCTCCGCTTCCACATTTACTATGGACACCCGAGGCGTCATAGGTTCAGCAGGTGCAGTTGCATTCCTCATGGTGTTGGGTGTAGATTTAGGTCTGAAGAGCCCGACAAGTGACCGGGTGGAGTTTCTAACGCCTTTGCCCATCTTCCTCAGCATAATCGACGCCGAAGAGGCAGTGGAAGAAATAGACAGATTATCCATCGATCCCGAAAATAGATGACCTTGCCCTGAATATATGCTCTCACCAAGTCCATTGGCTTCTTGTTCCTCTGCAATTGCAGCTTGCTCCGCACCCAATTCCTCGTCGAGTTGTTGCTTTCGCGACACTTCTTGGCTAGGTCGACCAGTTTGTGTAGCTTCCTGGGCACTGGCGGCCCGAAGCTCCGCAACACTGCCAAACGACAGTGCCCTTCGTAGCCTTGACTTTCCAGATTTATGGAAACCTTTTTTTGACAATTCTGTCAGGCGCTTTGCAGCAGGACTTTGTGTTTTACCTTGTGAAGGAGATGAGGACTGTTCTTGCATTGCAGAAGGTGTTTTAGTTGCGGAGTTCGTGGTAGTGGGGTGCTTTGTTTCTGAAGATTCAGAGCTCATATCCACCGGTTGGGACAAAGGAGAAGGATTTGTGACACGTTTCGGATTTTCAATGAGTTTGTGATCTAGTTTCAGTGTAGTGGGCGATGAAACTGGAGGAGCTCGTTTTCCCTTTTGCTCCCAAAATAATATATGTTAGTCATAAACACAAAGGCAGGTGAAATAAAAATACTGGAAGCAGGCTTACAGTTGGAGGTGACGATCTGGTGGATGAGACACTTTCAGCGCTACCCTTGTGGGAATGGGAGTATGATTGAGCAGAATGGGGCTGCTGATCGACGTTTTGGAGAGTCAAATCTTTGGTGTCTAATGAAATTTGTGTTTCGGAGACTGATTTTTGTTCTGATACGTTTACCGGGGTCATGTCTAGACTGCCCAAGCTCCTACGTCTGTAGCGCTTGGCTTGCTCTGATGATTGTGACTTGTTAACGGACCCATCATCTGCACTGACACCTCTGAAGTGAGATGGGGGGGCTCCTTGCTTTATACTGGGGCCAAAACTGGACTGCAAGGGTCCGTTTGCTACAGGCGACGAAGTCTGCATAAGCCCATTCTGGGTTTCAGCTCGTCGTTGACCACGACGGTAACGATCTGGAGAAGGTTTAGCAGAAGCAGCGGGAGATGTAAGCCCAATTGAAGACAAAGGCCGAGCAGGAGGTTCACTGGTTCGTTGTCTTGTTGGGATTGCAGAGTCGTCTTTCGAAACTTGGGATATAACAGAGGACGGGATGGTAGGGAAAGTATTAGATACCGAACCAGCAGCAGGGAAATGCACACGAGAGGGAATCAGGCCCGGGTAAGTAGGGTTTGCTTGGGTATGTACTGTCGAAGGAGCAGATACCGCTCTATCCTCCGTTTTTAGGTGATGGGGGCCATTCTGACGCATGTGAGAGCTGCCAGTATTCGTCAAACTGGGAGTGCTAGTGAAGGCGTAAGGAGCAACAGGATGTCCAGCCTGTGAAGTCCTATAACCAATCCCATTCCCATTCCCATTTTCCAACACATTGTTATGTGATGCCCTAGACGGCTGCTGGTTTCGAGACATTTGTGAATGCTGCTGTAGTGTTGAAGTTGTGGGGGATGGAAAGGTGCCAGTAGAAGAGGCGCGAGGCTGCAGCAGAGTGATGGAGTTGGTCTGCTGGGGAATCGTTTGTACCAATGCAGCCATGATTGGAATCACGCGGTATATTTAATGGAAGAAAAAGGTGAACGGAGATACTTCTGGCAATTTGACTCTTGGATCAAGAGGCACGATAGGTAGGGAATTCGGTGATGTAGATATATCCACCACAACGCGTTCTGCTGATTGGGGGACAAGATGATAGAGGCCAACTAGAACAAACCTGCAACCTTGAAATTAATAGGTCAGCTGAGGCATCCACCAATAGTATGTCGAAAGTCAAGTTGAGAGGAAGTCAGAGAATTCGAGTAGTAGGTTAGGAAGCGTTGGGGAAACCAATTGAGGAGGAATTGGAGGGTAATGTAGGTAGGGGTAGGACAGGACGGGTACCGATGTTATTGTGCGAGCTAGGGTAGTCCTTTCGTTGTGTTCACGCATTCCAAGGCGAGAGTCGGGAATAGATAGAAAAGCCAAAGCACTAGGCAGTTGGGAGGATAGTAAGAAAGGAGACCTACCAAGATCACGATTGTAAAGCAGTTTTTTAAAAAGAGAAACGATTGAAAAGGATAAAATTATACGATGCTTAGGTCCAAAGAGGCCATATAATGTCAAACGAATGGAAAGAAAACAACTGCAGCAACAAGAACGGGACACGATGGAGAGGATAGTTGTTTAAACGAGGCGATGCGAGATGAGGATCCCAAGGAGCTCAGGGAAGTATGCAAGTGAGATTCAAAATGAAAAGGAAAGTAAAACGAGATGGTGAAGAAGAGGGTGAAGAAACACAGAATCAAGCCATGAAGAAAGAAAAGAGTAGTGACAGGCAAAAAATATATCAACTGAACGAAAGGAGATAGAGATTAAAAGAAGGAGACAGAACAAGCTGAACGAAGAGAGAACCACGGGCCTATTCCTCCAGGGCACACACGGGAGAAAGAGGAGGAAGAGGAGGAAGAGGAAGGGGACCGGGACCGGGACGGGGGTGAGGATGACGGATGACAAGGTCAACGCCAGCGAAGCTGAGAGAGGAGAGGAGAGAGGAGAGGAGAGAGGAGAGGAGAGGAGGTGAGGATGGAGATGGGAGACGGAGATGGTTGAGGCACCAGGACGGTACGGGCGCTGGTACAGGTGTTGGTACGGGCGATTGTTACGGACTCCAGCAGCCTGAAACATTGATACCCAGGATCACTCCTGACTGGCTGGTTACATACCGTTGTAAAACCTTTGGGCTGTTGATACAGCCACTACGCCGCATCCCGCCTAGCGGTGGACGCTTCGGACAGCTTCCCTGCCCTTTACAGCGAGTCACGCACCGATATTATCTTGGCTTACCGTACCTTACATTACTTTTCCTGATTTTATCTTACAGTATCTCCATACAGTGCCAGGCAGCCCTGGGAAACGCCGGATAATGGATGGTTCGTGGAGACAGCGGATGTCACAAACCATAGTGCTCAGGCTGGTACAACTTACCCGGAAGAGACAGGTGGATGGACTGTACGAGACGTAAGGTAATATGGGGAATATAGGGGGCATCAAATATCAAAAAATTCAAATGAAAGGAAGCTGAGGGCGTTGGCAGGACGTGGGTTTTGGAGGTCATCCACTGGGTCCCGAAATAGGTTGTATTTATTTATTTATATCTGCATATCAGTATATCTGTCTATCTGTCTATTTATTATTTCATGCTGGATGTTGTGTAGGACAGAAGCCATTTTAGGAACAGCGAGCCTTGAGGAAAAGATCCCCTACGCAATGTACTGTATCTTTTCTAACACCAGTCCATCCCATCCTCTGCCCTCTCCTCCGCTCTGTTCCCCGACGTGGTAAGAATTGCAGAAACAGGAGGGGATAAAAGAGGGTCCCCCCGCTCCTCCTTGAAACCTGCGTCGGTTAGTTACTCCGCTGAGTGGTGCAATATTACGCAGTCATGCAAGCTCCTGGTTTCTCCTGATTCTAGGGGTCGCTAGCGCTAGTCTCGAGTCTATTCGCTAGACACGAGCGTTTTCAAATCAAAAAACGCACGTCGCTAGTTAGTCCATGTTCACCTTTTTCATGGGGTAGATTTGTTTGGTTTGATTTTCGATCGACATATATTTTTTTTTATCAGATCCTCACCCTGAATCCCAATAATGCAGAATGATATGGTATATTGAGAGAGGAGCTTATATTTCGTTGGGCCCACTTGTGATACAAGCTAAGTTCAGTTGATCTGGTCTGTGCAGAGTAACTTAGCGTTTATACTTGAGAGATGTAAGGAAGGAAATAATGGAAACACGACAGAAGATGGAATCATTAGCTAACTTATTTTTGGTATTTATTATTATTCAGGAAGCAAGGCACATGTCTTCTGCAGATAGATATCTTGATATTCAATGGATAGGCTATCCGCATCAAACAAGTTTTTTCCTCCTTACTTTTCCCCAGACTTTTTTATTTATTTATTATTTGTTTATTTATTTATATTGATAGCCTTGGTACTTTATTCATTTCTACTTATTCTCTTCTTGATAGTTCTTCCCCGCTTGCATGATGACGGCGATGCACTTGCCACTACGAAATAAAAATAAACTCCAAGCTCCAAAAGTCCTGAAACCGTCAGCAGCAGAGCCTCCATGTCATCCCCCAGCCAATCCCGTCATGTCCTTGGCTCAAGACTCCAGCGTCATCCTTTTTTTCTCAGATGTCTCCCATGATTATTCCCTGAAAATCCCGTCCTATGGTTGAAAAGCAAATAAATATATTTGTTTTTTCTCCAGAGACAAACGATCATCTGCCAACACCGGTCCCTTTCCAGGTTCCTCCTTCCTTTCCCTTCCTGGCCCACCCTCTTCCCGCGCCCCACTTCAAGAAAGTCAGATCAGCACACATCGTAAGCTGTGCAGATCATGGGGTATTTCGTTCTCACCGATCAGTTGATCAGTGGTCAGTGGTCTCTTGGGGGGTTTGTAAAATAACATTTGGGTGTACTGTCCAGTACATATGCAGAATGCTTGCTTGCTTGCTTGTTTTCCCGCGGCTCCCTCCCCACATTCCTGTGTGTTCCCCCTCCCTTTTTATTTATTTCACCTGTTCCTCGCAGCCAGTCGGACGATGTCGCTGATTGAATGAACGAATGATTAATTGATTGACGAAAATAAAATAAAATCTAACATCTATATATTCAAACAATATGCAAAAAAAGATCGGGCTACGAGCCGCCAGTGGGGGTGGTGAAACGAAACAAGAGCCTTGTTCTTTTGTAAAATTTTATTATACTTCTTTATCTATTTTTGCAACTTGTTACTGTTGGTTGATCAAGTAAGTTCCAGGTTCCAAAGCTTCTTTTTTAAGGTTTGAGTTTTGGTTGTTTACCCCTTTGATCAATGAAAAAGTATGTTATATGCAAGGTGGCTACGGATTGTGCATGCACTGTACATGTATACATGTATACTCCGTATGTATATATGTAAATATATATACCTGAAATCAGGCCCAGGAACAAAAACTTGTTCCTGATGTTATTGAATAAAGGGGCTTCATTTATTTATTTATTTGTGTTTTGTTTCGAGTGGTGTAACATCTTGCCCAACTTACACCCTTCCTATTTGTATACAGGGCGAGGCCGTGGTAGCGGGACGAGGGGAGGGAAGAGTCTCACCCCCTGTCTTTTTTCTTATTTTTATTGTTTTTGATCCTCCCCTGACTTTCCAACGGTGGTAAGTACAACCTTTCTCAATTGCTCATTAGGTAAAAAAAGAGGGGGAGGCGTACAGTGCAGCCAATGCATGGAAGAGATAGAGAATATGGGAGGACGCTAACAACATACGTTGTTCATTCGATAACTGATGCCTTGCGGGGTGTATGCTGCTGTAGCCTGTGTAAAAGCGAAATGGAATAAATACATTGTTCGTTTCATGCGATACAGATAGATGGGACTTCGAAATCGGGGTACCAAGGGAAAGAGTGGGCTGGTTTTGGGTTGGGTGGGACAAGAGGGTTAAAGGATGGATCAAATAGGAAGAAGAGCTTCAGGGAAGCGTAGAATGTATAGATCGACAGTGTGCGAGTAGGTTTCAAAACTTTTTTTCATTTATATATAACTGGTATATATGGATATAGATCAAGAAAATAGGGTGTTTGTCAGAGGTTGAGGACACATATAAAGGGAAATGGATGGCAGTCCAGAGTCCCGGTTAGCACGGACCAACCATTCTGATATCGTCATATCAACGAAGAGAGCAGCCCCTTGAAGACACTAATAGCTGTCGACCGTCAATTTCAAAACAAGAAGTAAAGATTATGGTTGTCTCTTGATTTCATGGAAGATGGGAGTTTTGGGCTTCCTATTACGGACTAGCTCCCCGTACCAGCATTGATCATTCAGGATGTCTTTGCTGAGGTAATCGCCTTCACTCGCCTTTGTGCCAGGCAGGCTATCTGGCAGTTCCAGGATTGATCGGGAAGGTGTATAAAGGTCCATATGGAAGAGTAGAATTATCAATTGGCTTCCGGGCTTGAGAGTAGTTGGCTGCGGGGGCTATGCACCGATGTTTGGGCTTGTTTGGTTTAGATTAATAACCCATTTACGGGGAAATTATATCGGTGTGATAATGCTCCGCAGAGATACAATTATTCCAACCGATATTACTCCTCCTAATCCAAAACTAAGATGGTGGGGGTTAGTTCTAAGAGCAGAAAATGGGTCTCTCAAGATGATATGATTTGATGAACTTTTTGCTTCTGGTAGATGTTAAGTGGCTCTCGTTCGAAGCTGAGTTTTAGCAACTGGAAATTCGAGGTATGGTTTGACGATCCATGCATTCAGTGTTGAACGGCACAATGATGACTGTGTGCCTGCAGGATGCCCCTTGGATATCTTTCCAGTCAGTTGAACGGAACTGCAAAAAAGAAAGCATGCAAAGAAAACAAAAAACATAAGATACATAATAAGTGTAATAAGTGTTATAAAAGGATGTCTCATCGAACCTAGAAAATTATCCGTTCGTCTCCATCTCTTGCTGTGGAAATTCAACTTCACGAGGAGGTTGCCCCTCAGCTACAACCTCCAAGAGATTCGGACAAACCCAGCATTCACTGTAGATTGTCGGGCACTATGTTGAACGCGGAAGTTTGCGTACCACGCTGCCAGCTCAGGAGGCAGGATTGCAATCTGATATACTGATGTGATTGTCGTCTCCCATCTTGTGCGAGTCGGATAGCTCGGGTGTGTCGTTAGGGCGTGTTATTTTGGATCTTGCCGCGTGTAGTGTCACATAAATGTCATAAAATAACTGCATAATTTGTTGGGGTTAATATTATCCTGAGACAGTGTCTGTTAACAAATTTTGGAGAATGTTCTGGATAGGAGCCAAAAGGGGCAAATATACTAAACACGCTAAAACCCGTCGCTGACTCATGAACGCGGTTATTGCCACGTGATAATTGCCTTGACGCGGCTCCTCCCGCGCAACCACAACAATGACGTCACGGCCAACTGGTCGTCGCCAAGAACACCAATGCTGTCATTGATGAACACTCCGGAAACATCTTATCGACGATTTCTTCATCCACCTTTAAATTGTATTATTGATTTGCTAATTCCAGGGAATCTAGGTATTTTCCATAGCGTCTTGTGAAGTTTGTCGCGGGGAGTCCGCTGCATCAGACCCACCACACCGGTGATATCTGACATCCATAATCCATCACATCATGCCGTTCTCTTCGGGATATTCCAGAAACCTCCTCTGGAACATACCCATTCCTTTCCCTCTGGGCGAAGCAGGAACTTTCTCTGCTTTTTCCCTCCATGAAAACACATGGCAAGTGAATGGCCGCAATGATGCAACTTGACTGTGAATGTCAGGAGCTATAAGATGTCCTCTTTTGGCTCGTCGTAGTCCTTTTCCTTCTTTCTTCATCCTCTCATTACTTTATTTCATATATCTGTATGACTGCTGAGTTTGGGATAATACAAGTTTTGAGATCGCGCCCAATATTGACCAAAGGATCAAAGCCACCCTGACCTCGACATTACACATCCACTAAACAGCCCTTGCACCAGATCCTACCTTCCTACTTCCCCCCATACACCCCACCGATGCCTGTTCAACACTATTTTCGATATTGAATCTCGAATGCAGGAAAGGATGTCACTATATGATCTACCAGAAATTTCACCACTTGATGAGGACTCGGTATTTCTTCCAGGAGTTTCTTCTACCATTCCGGGGGCTTTATCGCTAGATTCTGAAGCTTTGTCCTCAGAGTGTAAAACAAACTCCGGGTTGCCTTCACGGGGGTTTGGAATTGCGGCTACTGTGGATGCTGAGGTTAACGCCTCCACAAGATTTAATGTACCTGCTGTTCAATATGCCCAGCCCACCCCACATCAAGAACTGGGGCAATCTTGTACGGTCAATCCGAAATTTTTAACTCTACCCAAGGATGCCACAAGCACACAATATGATTTGCTTATCGATTCTAATCTTCCACATCTTCATGCAGACCAAAATGGAGACCTATTCGCCGGCGTTTCACAAAACGGGGACGTCTCCTCATTCGCTCCACAAACCCCGGCGCCATCAAAACCCCCTTCCCCCGAAACTTCAATTTCTTGTTCTCCATTGTGCAACACTTTCCAAACTAATTCATCCTTGAAATCAGTGGGAAATGCTTTTGTTGACCAACAATGTAATTCAAATTCCGCGGCGAATCCGCGTGTTCCGTTCGTGACTCCATTGAATGAAAGACCTAGGCAATTTTACACCCCGACTATGAACTCTGATACACAGAAGTCCGCCAACAATTTAAATTTCGATGAGTGGTACCGCGATGGCGGAGATTATGCGAGCCCATGCCCTGCTCCTCGTGGAGAAACCTCTAGGGACCAAAGTGTTGTTGACTTGAGGTTCCTTGGCTCTTTATCACATTATATTATATCCAACCCTGTTTCTTCACAGATTCATTCTACTGTTCGCCGCCTGGATTTCCATAAAGATTTCCCCCCAGAATTATCTCAGTCTGAATTTGATGAGCTGGTAGATTCCAATGAATTTTTGCCTGACCTGCTCTTATCTCCATCGCCTTGCCACCCGGCTGAGCAGAAAATTTTCAAGAAACATGAAGCCTCGGACTTCTGTCTCGAGAGCCCAACACTCAAACCTCCGCGAAGGGAGAAAAAAATGTTCGTGCGCGAATATAACTTACGAAAACTGCCTACAAGAAAAGTTAAAAGACCCCAAGGACCCTCTCCGATCCTTCAAGTCCCGCAATGCAAGAGAAAAAGCCAAAAAGATTCGCAGGAGTCCATAAAGCTAGGTAAGAAGCCTGCTTCTGATGGGTGTAGTGACTGAAAAACACATTCTGCAAGCCTGCTTAGCCAGACCCGGAGGAATGCGAACCCCAAGTCTCTGGATGACTACAGGGAAATTAATGGATTCCGTCATTTCCATTCTTCCATTTACTCTGCCAGGATTTATCAGGTTTTCACTTTTCTTCCTTTTCAGATCTTATTTCACGATTTGCAGTCCTACATTGGATTATATTACGCCACTTTTCATGGGTTAATAACTAGCATTGCCGGGAACTCCTAGTTTGAGAGCCGGATGGACTTGCAGGCATTGATCCTACTTCAGCCCAGTAAGGGATATGTATATGTGAAGCTACCAGCGGTCCGGCTCCCTGTTGGCTTTCTACGCTGTAGAACTCTCCTCTGCCGTCTACTCTAAAGCTCTAACCATTCAGCAATTGTTTCAATAATTGAAACAACCAGCCCAGCTTAGTTCGTGCTCGATGTTATGTTTTGCTTCTGGTATTGGTTTATTTTACTGGTTTATTTTTGCCTTCTATTTGCTCATGTATTTTTATCACGGAGGCAAATAAGGGTATGCCATACTGTATGTCCCCGGGGGTTATATCGAGATATTGCGGATGTATTTACGTTGTTGTTGTTGTTCTTTTGAGGGGGGGATTTGCATATTTGCTAAGTGCGGGATGGGAGGGTATTTGCTTGCTCCGATTTTTGTTCATTTCTTCTTCATTTCTTCAAACCTGTACGAATGAATGCATTTCCTTCTACGAGCCTTGTTTCCCCAGTTACCTAAACGGTATTGTGATGGAAAATTTGCGCAAAGTATGTGCATTTCGAATGTAACGCCCGTGGGGCTCTTGCGGACGTGGATATCATCCACCTAAGCTGGCAATACACACAAGATAATTCCTTTCCCAAGAGGGGAGGATACATCACCGTTGCTTTCTATTATTTATTGCTAATTTTCATCCACACTGAGGTAATATTCCGAGATAGAAAAAAGTGTGTTGGGTTAGGTGGGGGGAAGACATGACGGCCATTCATTTTCCATCGATCAGTTTAGTGCATCCATTTCACGGGTATTTTCATTTTTAATCATCACTCGGACTCAACCCGTCCCATGCTCATCCGTATCGCCATCCATATCGCCATCCATATCTGTGTCATCCATATCTCCATCCAAGCCCTCAAAAACCATAAACTTCTCCCCGCTCGCCTCTGTCTCCTCAGGAACAACATTCCCATCCTGCACCTCACATTCCTTCAGCACAGACTCGCGCCCAATCCTGCAACGTCGCCCAATAATACAGCCTGTAAGCTGACAGCGCTGGTCCACCACAGCACCATCCATGAGCAGGCAGCGCGTCAGTCGCGCACCAGTGGCAATGTGGCAGTTGGCGCCAATCACACACTCCTTGATGACACACTTTTCTTCGACGGTTACGTTCTCGGCGATCAGGCAGTCGGCTTTGGTGACTGTGCATCGCTGGGCGATGCCGGCTGGATGGGCGATTTTGTTCATGTGGGCGAACGGGGACGCAGCCTCGCGACCAACGTCGTTGATTGGGTCGAGTTTTGCCAGACGGAGTGAGGTCGACAGAAGGAGGGCGGAACTGTCCACGCGCCGGATTAGAGGGGCGGAGGGTTGTGAGGGGTGAACGTAGGCGAGGATTGGGGGTACGGAGAGTTTTTGCGGGGATGCTGGGTTAGGGTTGACGGTATCGTCTAGTTGAAAAGGCAAGGTGTGTTGGGTTGGACGCGGTCGAGTGTGCTTATGTGTCGCGCTGCTGCCGTCCGGGTTGATATTGGAGTGGGAACTTGATTTTGTTGTAGACATGGCTGTGATGTCGATTTCTTCCTCGACACGCTCTTCGGCTACGAAACCACGGCTATTTGTGTCCTGGTTGCTGAAAACTTCTCGTAGGCTTAATTTCTCGCCTAGGCCCGTTTGCCATTCGGCCTTCGCCCACCATCCTATCAAATCTTCGCTGACGCTTTCGAATTTCTGGTTTCTTTTAGCCATGTCTTTCACCCAGTACGGCAATAAGTAGATATGAGCATCACGGTAGGTGGTTAAGAGCTTCACTCTGCCATGGTTTCTAAGGAGTGAAGGGCGGATCAAGAAAGCCTTCTTCTCGGCCATTGTGTTTTTCAGTGTATCCATTGGTGCAGCGTACACAAGTTTTGATAATGAGGCGCGGACGGATCCGTTCCCGCCTGGTCCGCCATTTACAACGGCAGCATCATCTGTATCTAGGGGTGTTACGGCCAGGAAATCGGCCACCTCCCCTTTGATCTTCTCTTCTTTGGAAGTGGGCATGGGGTACCATACCCCGAGACCGCCTCTCCTTCCACCATGCTCCCCGCCAACGCCAACCATGCTTGATACGCGGCTTGAAAACGCTTCACCGACTGACGAACCATCCAGAGCTCCTTGACTTGACATCCACGCTTCGAGGAGCGATTCGCCAAGCAGGTCACATATTAGGTCGCAAGGAAGAAGCATAAAATCGGACCTGATACATGCTTGCACATCAGGTAGTCGTAGAAGCTCCGAAGTACCAGTAGTGAAGGTTAGGTCTCGGGGTGCAAGCACTGATGGGGATGGAGAAGGTAGCGATGTAAGATGTGGGTTTTGCGATAGGGCAGCCTCTAGAGCGGGCTGACTTGACTGAGGAGTAATAAGAGTTATATCTGAGGCGTTTATTAGAACGTTTCAAACGACAAGCAGCAATTGTATGTGGGGTGTTGAATGAAATGATTTCCGCAGTTGATTATGACGAAATGTAAGGTTTCCTTTGAATATGGCAACCTGGGCACCATATGCGGCATGTATCCGCAAGTCGATCCACCCTCAACATACAAAAATCATTCTTGCATCCCATGTTGATGGCGGTAAAACGCCCATTGGAGGAGATCAGGATTAAATAATAAATAAATAATCTGTGAAATATTCCAGAAGCACTTACTTGTAATGCCCATGCGATAGCACCAGTCTAAAGGGTACCAGACCATAGGGCGGTTCGCAATTGGAACAAGGGCTTTGGGGAATTCCTCAGGGTTTGAGGTAAATGTATTCAAAGAAACGCCAGGGCCACAGAGTATGAGAGCCTGAAACCCCGCATAGGGTACAACAGAGGCATGAGGCATGTTTCTAGCTGACAATTGGAGAAGCTGACAAGAGATCTACTTGCCCCGCGACCTGCGTTGATCACACTGTCCTCCCAATCTCCAGGATGACACCCCGCCCGCAGGCTCCGTATCCTGAGCTTTCCGGGGAAATTTATATTATAAGCAGCTTCCCAGAACAAAGAAGAGTGATTCCTAGTAGGCGCTTATCTGCTCCTTTGGGTCTAGCAAAATAGCGGGGATGCCAATCAATGTTCAGCCGAATTTGCTGAGGGTAATAGGAGCGTGTCCGCAGGAAGAGCCGTGCCGATTCAATATCTGCGCGCTGGCAGCTTTTTTTTAGCTATATACTCCGGACAGCCGCTGTCCCGGATCGCAGTGGAGGGCACAATATCAAAATGTATATGATAGATCGTCTCGATCAATTTTTCCGTTGGTTATGACCACGTGACTTATATGTTCGCAGCGAGCAAACAATGCAAACACAGCTCGCGTCCCCAGCCACATGTTTAATCCCCGCAAACAGCACACGGGAAACTACACACGCGCTCGCCGATTTCCGAGGTTGAAATCTTATATACAGTACGGGGTAGTTCATGGTTTATAAACACTGATTTCGTTGTCTACGCCCCCTTAGCCCCTGCACCTTTTCCCTTACCTCTTGTGGAGGACTACAATGTGGCATTCTTGCCATCTGCATTGATCGCCGGTTTGTGGATATACTTAGACATTGCTATTATTTACCCCCTTATTTGCACAAAAACCAGTTATACTTCTGTTCCCATGTCAAACCAACCTTTTTCCGACGGTCATCGTCGCCACAGTGGTCCCGGTGGCTTTAGTTCTACCGGTAGAAGGACTGCTCTCGGTTATTGGCTTCCTCTCGCTCTCACTGTCGGCGTCGCCGCCGTCAGCCTTGCTACTTGGGTATGGAGCGAACGCCGCGACGGTGAAGATGACGATGATTATTACGAGGATAGGGAACACCACAAACGAAGGGATGAAAATGTTCCAGGAGGATTTCAACCTGGCGCTGAGAACAGCCAGCCGGAAAGTGGATACGCGAAGGCGACCGGGGCCCATGATGGAGCTCACCCTGAAGATGCAAGTGTCATATCGCGAGTCCAAGGTGCATTGCGACGAACCCCAAGTCCACAGCAACTGTTCGATGGCGCTAGCAGGAGAGTCGCTGCTGGAGTGGCTGCTGCTGGAGCTGTTGTTGGAGGTGCGTTGACTGCGATCCGCGAAGAGGGACCGAACGATTTTGAAGACCATTCCCGATGGACTGAAGAAGCGAATTCCCGAAGTGTTCTTGCGACTGCGGGATCTCGCGCCATGACAGGAGCATTGCCGCCTCCATCTGTAGCTCCAACGGCGCATGCACCTAAAACAAAGTCTAGAAAAACCGTGGCCATCGTGGTGTCTTCTGTTGGATTTGTGGAGGATCAAGTCGATTCGGAAGGGCAAATACCAGAACATGTAGGCTTCTTATTCAAAATGCTAATCGATGTAGTTGGAGCTAATCCACTATTAAATAGTCTATCCTGTCCCATCTCCCTGAATACGTCGAACCCGATACTGCACGAGTTTTCGTCTTGATATATGCTCCTGGGTTGCAAGCTCACTCATCCAATTCCCCAAGTTCGTCTCGACCCACACCGTCTCTTTCCTCTTCCTACGCCAACATTTCCCCGGAGGAGGGGACTGTAGAAAACATACAAGATGTGTCCAGCCTCGATATCATTGAACCTCGCCCTGCAGGGGATGATTTCGGGTCGGCGTCGCCCCTTTTCAAGGCTCTCTACAACCAAGCCCAATCACTGGTCGACAAGGAGACAATGATTCTACCCTTTAGCACACCAACTGGACACGTTCACATGCTTCGACACCTCTCTCCAGAAATTGTATATATCCAAGAAAGCATGACCGGCAATGACGGTGAGTCGGTTAACCAAATTACCGCATGGGTTCGACAAGTTGTTGTTGTAGTTGGCGCGGAGGGCGGGCGCGGTGGGTTGGTAGATAGTGACGACGAGTCTGCACTAGGTGCAGATAAGGGTGAAAAATGGTGGCAGAAAGAAGGAGTAACAGGCCTAGGCAAGCGACTTGATGTGGTTGATGGGCTAAGAACTGGGGAAGACTGGAGACGGCGTGTCTGTGGCCATGACTGAATGATAGTGCCGGATCCCCTTCTACTGACACTTTCTGTGAAAGAAAACCTTTTGATGTTTTCCTAACTCACGATATGACCACCCTCCCGGGCAATTTTTCATTATCCATTCTTGTACGATTTTCTTCTATCTACTTATTTGAATGGGGCTCTTTTTATCTCTAGGTTGTTTCCCCTTTAGGCTATTCTATCTCCTTTATGATCTTTTCATGTATTTTGTATTTTATTTTATGCTCCTTCATTCAAGAGATAACGCATTTTCGTCATTTCGTCAATCAACTTATAATACCTTTACTTCCAATTTTCAAATATCAACCAGTATGCTAATTTGTCTTACACTCCTTGCACGCCGTTTTAATCAACTACGTCAGCGTAACTTTTGATTCCTTTTTCGCCGAGGTTGAACTAAATCAATTAGTCAACTACCTAGGTTGACGCTAGTTCGAATCCGTGTAAATCACGTGATATAAGAGCAGGTGACATCCATGGAGCCTCATCCTTGGCATCAACCAACGACAATTAACGACAGTTCATACAACGATGATAGCCATCAGACTGGCAGTATATCTTGACTCCATTAGCGTTCCGCCGTCTCGCCCGGTATACTGTGCTGTATAGGCATCTCCTCCTTCAATCTGTTGTCCACCGGAGCCGGTCGTGGGCGTGCCGGTCGCCGTTCCGTTATCCGCACCTACTCCCCACATGTCTCCCGCATCGGCTTTCTACCAATATTCGGGGGTTATAGTATTCTTATCCGTCCTGTTTGATAGCGTCTGAACTGTTGCATTCGGGCGCTAGCAGTAGAGCCCTCCTTAACTGCATGGAAGCGTCTTCCAGCATGGCGACAGCTGTGTCCACGAAACTTCCCGCGCCCAAAATCAAACGCCCTCCTCCGTCCTACATCCAGACTGGGATCAATGGCGCGAAGCCTTCACAACCATCTCCATCCCCACTGGGTTCGGCTTCGAATCGTGCTTCGCTCGCCAAGCAGCCAGGCTCAGTGACTCCGATAAGTGCTACCGCCGCAAATGGCGCAAATAATCGCCAGCCAATGCGCCCAAGGAAAGAGGCTCAAAGACCAGGAGACTCTGCATCTCGTTTACAGCGTCTGCCGATAAAGCATCCTGGCGCAGATGGAGCTACTACAGATCGAAATCAGCTGAAGAGGTTTCCGGAGCCATATGGTTCGTGTTCCCTATCGTGAATTTTTCTCTCGACAAAGTATGAAACGCTGACTTACTCCGACCACATAGTGAAAACTACGTCCTATATCCTCAAAAAATACTCGAAAGTTCCGCCATCCTTAACTATACATTTACATCCCACCCACTTCCGTTTCGACCAGCAAGATGGCAGCTTTCCCTATAACTCTGAAATGAAGATTTTCATGAAGCACTTGAAGGCTGGCACTGTTCCTCACGACATGATTGAGGAGTTGGTGAGGTGCGGAGTCCGCTTCTACGAGAGTGAGTATTTGTTATTATTATTTACATCTTTGAAGCTTCGGAGTTAATTTTGAATAGATTGCCTCATTGTCCGCGTCGTGGATCATAAATCCATCTCCACGCAATCCAACCCCTCGTCCAATTCCAATTCGGGGGAGAAGAGCTCACCTTTTTCCTTGCACAATTACAATCAGCACATCACTCCTTCACCATTTGTCCCATATCCGCAACAGAATCAGTCGAAGATAAAGCGTACCACCAATGGATCTTCAACAGGTAGCAGCCATAAAGCAGACGAGCAGCCGGTACCAGAAACAAGTAGTGACACTGTAGTACCCAATGGAGTGAAAGCGGGGTCTAGCAATTCAAAGCAACCAGCCATGAAACCCAAGGTGTTCACCACAGTATTACATCCCACACCTCAGTCTCTACTCGCAGAATTAACGTTGTTGTCCATGACGCCTGATCCACGAGTAAATCGTCGCCAGTCTCAAGCATATCCCGCGTCGCGAACTGGATCTGCTGTCCAAACGCCTAGTATATCTGCACTTCCATCTTCTCCAATATCTGACCGTCCGCCTCCAGCAAAGAGACAAAAGATGATGGTTGAGCCATCAGAGCTTCTAGAAGCAGAGGCAAAACTTATACATGCCACGGCTCCACCGCTCTACCTAGAGCCGGTTGATTCATTGACCGCGAGTGCGAGTCTTCTCAAGTTTTTGGAAGATCCTCGACATCGCAACAAACCGCCTTCGCCAAAGACCAGAAGGCGGACTGTCGCAGAGTTAGCTGCGGATGAAGCATTGGCTGCTGAAGAGGAACGATTCATGCTTATCATGGATGAGAGGCTGGGGCCTTCCACTTCTGGCAACGCTGGGGGAGCGAAGCCTAATGTTGATGACGAAAGTGGTGCAGCTCCATTCGAACCTAGATTTTCAAGATTCAAAACTCTCGAGAAAATCCGCCATGAACATGAAGAGAAAGCTAAAATCGAACACGAAAAGAAACTTCAACAAGACCACGCTAAAAGGTTGCAGCAGGAAGCCGAGAAAGAGAAACGACGTGCAACAGAGCAGCGGTTGGCAGAAGAACAAAGCCGGGAAGATAAAAGAAGAGCGCAAATGGCGGCAGCAGCAGCACACCATGCTCAGGTGCAAGCACATGCCCAACTTTTGGTTGCACAAAATCGGGCCCGCTCCCAGTCCCGTGGAAACCCTGCTATGGGAATACCTCATCAGCCGCAGCCTCGACAAATGGTTCCAGCGTCCCAAGGTCAACAGTCATCTCCACCAGTCCGGAATGTAACGCCTCATAGTTCGTCACCTTTGGCAGGAAATTTGATGGGACCTCAGATGAACCAAGGAGTTCCAATGGCTATAACAGGTTCCTCACAAGGAGTGGGAAGTCCACTTCAAGTTACATCAGGTGTACAGCATAGCCATCCAGCTGTTATGGCACATCCGATGGTTAATACACGAAGCCAACAGGGTCAGAGCAGACATGGTACTCCACAAATGGGGCAAGGGACCCCTGCTATACCACATGCCACACCAATAATGCGCAACGCAACTCCCACGCAGAGAATGACACATGCAAGTCCCAGCGCTTCTACCATGGCTCAGACCCCTGTTATGAATCATCCCATAATGGCCAATCCCCAAATGAATGGTGTGATGATGACCCCGCAACAACAGCAGCAAGCTATCCTGCAGCAGAGGCAGCAACTCATTATGCAGCGAAATTTGCAAGCCCAGGCTGGCGCTCAACAGTTCACGCCTCAGCAGATGGCACAGCTTCAGCTCCAGGCTAATATGCACGCACAGCAAAGTATTCAGCATGCCCAGCCTCCACAACACCCAAATATATTCATGCAGCAACAGGCGCAGACGCAGGCGCAACAGCAGCAGCAAATCCAACAGCAGCAGCAAATTCAACAACAGCAGCAAACCCAACAGCAAGCTCAACAACAGCAAACCCAACCGCAGCAGGTGCAACAGAACCAGTTCCCAAATGCAGCTGCTTATCAGGCACATGTCATGCGATCTCAGCTGGCACAGCTGCAAATGTCACAGGCCCAAGCTCCTCACGGCCAACAGCAAGGGAGCCCGCAACAACTCCCACCGCAGCAAGCGATGCCGCAAGCAAGTGGTGTAGTTGGGCAAGGCCAAGGAGCACTTCCACCTCGCTACCGGTTACTCTACACGCAGCGCATGCTGCCACAAGCTCAAAACGAGGTACGCGCGAAACTCATACAGCAATTTGGTCATCCGTCCGGCTGGCACGATGCCGTTCGCCAGCAGTTCCAAGAACAAGTAGAGAAAATCGCCAAACAATATCTGTTTGACTTTATGAAAAGGGAGGGTCAACAACGGGCCCAACAAGCGCAGGCACAGGCACAGGCACAGGCACAGGCACAAGCTCAGGCCCAGGCTCAGGCTATCCAGCATCAACAGCAACAGCAGCAGCAGCAAGGCATGATGAGTAACAGTATCGCTAAATAAATGGATTCTCATTATTCTTCTCATTCTGTCTTTGCTTTCCTGCTATCTTAGTTTGTGCTGGGCGCAATCTGAAAGAATTTTTGCTTGGGGCATCTGGCCTTCCCTATTCTTACCCATTCTTTCTCACCTCCTTATCCTCCAATCCCCCACCCACCTTTATGATCACCACCTTCCCAACATAGCGGTGCATCAGTTCCCCATCTGCCATTAACATCCTATACTGTATTTCGCTCTCTTCCTTTTCCTCCTTAATTTCTTTCGTATTATACTTGTGTTAATTAGGCAGATGACCTACATGAGCTACTACGGATGGCTTTCGTGGCAATACCTGGCTTGCCCAATAACCTAAAACAAAAGGTTCATCTATCTTTCCCAGGTGTTGACTTTGTTTTTCTTTCTCTTCCCACCCTCGTCTTTCCCCTTACTTCCTACTTACCAATGGGCAGGCCTCAGGGTGGAGAAACAAAATTTTTTTTTTCCTTTTTCGATTTTTAATATGGTTGGGTTTATTCGGAATTTTTCAATTTACTATTGGTAGGTCAGGTTATGGCGGTTAGGGCGAGGTAATTCGATTTGGCTGAATTGACTCATGACATACTATTTGTTTCCCTTTTTCTTTCTTCTCTTTTCTATCTTTCGCATGATTCCACTTCTGTCCTTCCTTTTGTTGGTTTAGCCTAATAACCATGCCTGTGTCCGGCTTTATAATTCGGCAGTTATTAGTTCCCTTCACCTTTTTCTTCATCGCTGTTAAACCTTGTTCATACAGTAAGTAAAGTAAGTACGTTACAACTCAAGCTTTAATGTATGTCTCCTTTTTGATCGATCTATCCAGACGAACTTCCCTTCTAGGGCTAATACGCCTGATGGAGGTTTTATTTTCTAACCGTAAAGGGATTGCTGCAGGGCGAGATAAGAGCCCCGCATAAGCGTTTTCCAGCCTTGAATGCGAATGTCATGCATGGGGTAAAGCCTGGCCGCAGCCCGCGCTGTGGCAGCAAACATATGTCTATTGTTAGAAATATATTTATTGATTAGAATTGGATAGATAATATATACTGGATTTCTCATTGGATGAATTATGTATGTAATGTACGGAAAGTGTAGATATACCACTGTACGTTACATGCACACAGTACTGACTGGAAATTTCACGGGTGAGAGTGCTCTGGAGGGCATAAAGTCCTGCTGCATCCAACACACCTCCAGCTTCCCCGCTCATAATCTCAGTCAATGTCATTCCAAACAGCAACCCTCTTCAGTATATAATGACGACAGTCGCCTGGGACGGAGCGATATGCCAGTCAAATTGGGTTATGACGTGTAAGATGATGCTTTGCAGGAATATTGATGAAGTACGCAACACATTGTATCAGCAGGAGAATGGGTTCCTCCTTGGCAGGGCTCGATTTGTCAACGACGAAAATGGTTCCTTAGGGTTGTCAGAAAAATACGTTTTCGTGCAGTGTGCAGTGTGTTCAGTGCGCGTGCGAAGGCCTTATTGTCGCGGACCATGCGGCTTGCGTTGCCTAGTCGGACGCACCGGGGAAAGCAAACAAGATTTCCGTCAGTAAACCTTAAGGTTGATGCAAGTTCTCTGGCAGAATTCCATCGGAAAGGTCCTCAACCTCCAGCGCTACCCCACACCAACTACAATAGGCGTTAACGGTGGCTTGGACATAGCTACAGATCCAGGACTCCACCAAGTACGTGCGCATGCCGTGGAGATATCCCGAGTTCTTCGCTATTTTCCGGAGTCCCATAATTTCGCCTTAATGGTATGTAATGGTCCAATTGGTCATGTTTCAGGGAGTGAGGTATCAGTGGCGGATCTGATATGAATTGATGTTTCGAGTCTATCCGTGGATGCGGGAGCTAAACTTCCATGCATCATTCCTGCAGAGGTGGGATCATTGGTCTCTGGGTCATGGCATGGTACGTGCAGAGGCTTGCCGCCGAGATGCAGGAAACTGTTCGAATTAGGGTTATCGCGGCTTTACCGTCAAGACCTCATATTCTTCCTCTCATTCTTCCGCCCTGAAATTTGCGTTGACTAGTTATTCCAGGTTTTGGCGGATTTCCGTCCATTGACTGACAATCGTAGCAGCTTTTGTAGAAAAAGGGTTGTAACGCTGATTTGACCTAGTGTTGAATGAAACACATGAGAATGGAGTGTTGTACTGTATATATGCTGTGCACACACATAGCAAGCATATTCCCCAAGAGCTTCTGATACTCCTAAACATTGACCTAGAGTACTTGACTTGTCAGCTTCATAGGGGCATCATGAATCGTGAATGTGTAACAAAGAGTGAGGACCAATAAGCTAGTCTCAAAAGGAAAATGCATCAGGAATCAATTTAGAAGTATTCTCTGCCGCTCAAAAGTGGAGAGTCAGTAAGGCTCCTTTGCATAAAGATAGGAGATACACAACTCAAAGAAGGGAGGTTTGCAGTTGACGTGTGTTCCCAGACTCCGCTGCCGATCTCCGTTGGTTGGGAGAACTGAACCAAGAGTCTTACGTCTCTGTTCAACTTCCTGGACATGGATACTCTAAGGTGTGGATTAGTGTGCGATTCTCCGCTGCTCCTCAGCTTGGCGACAAGTTCCCCCTCTTTTGAAGCCTCCGTCAGCAAATGTCGAGTTATGGAAGCGGATGTGGATGTGATGCAAGGTTTGC